TGCTAATTCTTTTTCTATAGTTGATTTGTTAAGTTCTCCTTTTGTAAAACTTTTTGACGCATAAGATATGGGGTGGTCTTCGCCATTAATTTTCTGCGAAAGTATAGCACCTGTTCCATATTTTGCTGCATCAACCGTTATAATAAATGGTTTTGAGAAATCAGGGTATTGAAGAATTGGAGGTTCACAAAGAAATGATTTAAGTTGATTAAAAGCTAATTTACATTCATGTCCATCTTAATTCACATTTTTTCCTTGTTAATTTATTTAATGGATATGCAATGCTCGAAAAATTAGGAATGAATCTTCTATAGTAATTACAAAATGCAATAAAACGTTTGTTTGCATCCTTATCTTTAGGTTGAGGGTAATTTCGGATAATTTCAAATTTCGAATCGTCTGGTAATATTCCTTTATCAGTACATTTGTGCCCTAAATAAGTGACTTCGTTTTTAAAGAATTGACATTTAGAGGGATTTAATTTAAGATTAAATTTCCCACAAGTTTCAAAAACTTCTTTAAGATTTTTCAAATGATGATCTTCAGAAGATCCTAGCACTATTAAATCATCTAGGTATAAAAAAAAAACAAGATGATGGTGATAAACCCGAAAAAGCAATTGACATCATTCTCTGAAAAGAATTTGAGCAACGTTAAGTCCAAATGGCAAAACTGTATACTGAAAACTACCTTGATCTGTACTAAATGATGTAATATTTCGAGAATCTGGATGAAATCCTGAAAATAAATCTAAGACTGAAAAATATTTTGCTCTAACCAAGTTATCTAAAATGTCATCGACGCGTGGTAATGGGAATTTATCTGGAATTAATTTTTTATTAATTAATCTAAAATCAATACACATTCTCCATTTCCTCTCACCGTTTATGGATTTCTTAGGTACTAAAATCACTGGGGAATTGTATGCAGATCTACTATGCTCTATTATACCCGATTTTAACATTTTATCTACCTGCTTATTAATTTCCTTTTTATGAAAATAAGGTAATCTATAATTTTTAATATAAACTGGGGAATTATCAGTAAGGCGTAGTTTTTACTCATAAAAATTATTGACTGAAATTGTATCCTCCTCTAATGCAAATTTATCTGCAAATTCATCACATAAACCTTTGACTTTACCCAAATTATAATTGTTATTTGCTTGTGATAATTTCGACTAAACTTTCTCTTTTCTATCGGATGTTTCTTAACTAAAATAATAAATATCAAATTTGGATATATCTTCTGTAATTAATTTTATGTTATTATTTAAAATTACCGGTTTATCAGTGATATTTAGAACTCTCAAAATTGGATTTTTAGATGAAGTAATAGTTCTCGCAATAAAAACACCTGGAGCTAATTCTTGTGATTCTATAACCTTATCAGTACCTTTAAGTTTAAAGGATCTAAATACCTCACATCTGGGTGGAATTACTATTGCATCCTGATCTGGACCTTGATGTATCGGTAAGCTAACCTCAAAATATGGAAATTTTATTGTAAAAATCATTGTTTCATAATCAAGGTTGCAATAATATTTCTTTATAAAATCTTTACCCAAAATTCCATCCGCTGGGATTGGGAAAGTTTCCTCTACTACCTGAAAGGTATGTTCAAAAGCATGAGAATTAACTGAAAGTGGTGAGATTACTGAACCAATTGATGTAACAGTGTTCTCTGTTATTCCTTTTATATTTAAGTAATTTTCCTTATTAACTGAATTATTATCCGTTATAGATCCACTATTAATAACTGATATATCTGCCTGAGTATCTACTAGAAAACTTAAATTCGAATGAGATTGCGGAGAGTAAATAATGACATAATCAGAATAAGATAAATTCATGTGAAAAATATTAACATCTCTGTGGTTTAATTGCTTCCCAGAGGGTGCGGCTCTGGGTTTTGCCCGTTTCCCGAATTCTGATATACCCTAATATTTGGATGTTTGGAGTAACCTCTACCCCTACTATTATTTTCGTTAAAATGGTTAGGCCTATATGCGTTAAAGTTAAAATTTCTTCCATTACTGTCACGGTTAAAGTTTGTGCGGTCATTTCCTCTAAACTGATTTCCTCTCAAATGATTTGTTGATGTACTACCCCTAAAGTAATTTCCTGATGTACTACAGCTAGAGTGATTTCCTCTATAATGATTCGTTGCTGCACCGCCGTGGAACTTATTTCTATTATACGCTAAAATTTGCCTATCCGTTACCTCATCACTAATCTCAACTACAAATTTTGCAAGTACTTCCTTATGCTTGTTAAAATTTCCACTGGCAAGAACTGATTTTACCAGATCTGATCTAGCAGACTTTCTACAAGTTTCAACCATTTTCCTTACCACCATTGATTCAGCTTTTGAATCCGAGGTTCCTTCCATTATTAATGAACGTTTTAAACATTCGGCTAATACCTCTGCCTCCTTAGTGAAGGTTTCTAAACTTTTCCTATCCGTTCTTAACGCTAGAAGCCTAGCTTCTATTACCTCAGAAGAATCTGGTTTAATATTTGCCTTTAATGCATTTCGAATTTCCTCATAGGTATTCGCATTTGTAGGAATTGCTTCCAAAGCTTTTCCTTCTAACCTGGTTTTGATAAGTTGTACAAATAAATTTAAATTTTCTGTCGTAGTGATACTTTTTACCAAATCTAAGGAATTTAAAAATGCATTTAGGTTATCTGGATCACCCGAATAAGATTTTATTAGAGAACTAGCGAGTTTTAAATATCCCGCAGAAGTTTCCTCCATTTTATTACTTACAGACGTTATTGACTCAGTCTCCAAATTTCCAAACTCTAACTCACTATCATTGTTATCTTCCTCGATTTTTTGGAATAAACCTTTTGGGACAATATGTGGGCATCGACTAATTGCAAACGCTTGTAATGTTTTATCCCTAAAATATAAAAATTGTTCCTTAACGACTACTTTTTGATCTTCATTCAGCACATTCCACACCTGAGTAAACAATTGTATTTGTCTATTATATACCTCAGTTAAAAGTATCCTGTTTCTATCTAAACTTTCTCTTGAAGGTAATTTCGATTTTATGATCCTTTTAGCTACTTTCTGGAACTCTTGTTTAAGTTCAGTCAATTTATTTTGAATTTCTTGCCATGTGTAAGTAGGCATGTAAAAGAATTATTACTGTGACCTAGCTAGACGTGGAAATTGTATGCATTATTCGCATTCTATTTATAATTAATAATAGTACCTAAGTACTTAAAATTAAATCTATTTAAAGAATTAATGTCACTCATAGTACCTAACTGTAACGTTCAAAGTCTAAATTACACTTACGGGTTAAAACGACCTAGGTACATACGAACGTTCTGCAATTACATGCGTAAAGTCCTGTCACGGTCGCCATGTTATGTTCGGAGGGTCATTAGGTAGTACTTTTAATAAAAACCATTTCTTCTATTAACTATTTACTTATACGTGTCTCTTCTTGGAAGGTTCGTAGTCATCTCCGTTCTCGTTATTACATTTTAAGTCACCCGCCTAAGTAGGTTGTCTACTTGACAATTTCAGCAACGATCGGCAATCAATGCAATATCTACAAGTGCGTTTACATAACCTGTGGATATGACACAATACTTGCCTTTTGATTCCTTTCCCCTAGCCCCTGAGCCTTAAGTTTCGGTATCTGACCGCCACCTTTAACCAGCAATTTGAGAACTCCGACTTTTATTGATACTTTTTGGTTTCCTTTTTTTTTTGCTTCAACCGTTCTATTTAGCGACTTGTGATGACTTTGGATTTTTGACATTTGATCTAGAACCTCTAATCTTCAATTTTCGATTTCTAACCTTACGTTTAACGTCTAATTTATGACTTACGACGATATGCAGATGTCCGACACGAAATTTCGACCTTGGACTACGCGTTTGGCTTCTGGTCAGCATTCGTGACTTGCGAAATACGACTTAAAGCTTTCGGCTACAGATCTCCATCAGTTTATATTGTGGATTTTGGAATATCTGACTTTAGACCATCAGCTATACATTTCTGACTTAATTTTACTTTAAGCTTCTGAACTTTCGAATTTTGACATGATTCTTGATTTTTATTAATTTGACTATCAGTTATGACTTCCAATTGCGCTTACTACATGTCGTACGTATTGTTTTAGCGGGTAAGTGTTGATTAATCCATTGAGATTAATTTACTTTCGAGCTAGATCTCACCAATCTGTATGGGAAGGCTATGTTCTTGCGGCTTTCAAGGTAGATCTCACAAATCTGTATGAGAAAGCTATGTTCTTGGTAATAAAAGCAAAATTTGGGCAAATAAGACGGGATTGTGAGGATACCTTAGTGAATTAATGTTTTAAAGAGTAATATAATAAAATAAAACACACTAAAAACGTAACATTAGTTATCGTAAAAGCGCATCGCTTTCCCATACAGATTCGTGACATGGCGTCTCTTGCTATTTCTGAAAAGGAGACGTGCCTTATCGTTTATTGAGTGAGATTATTGCGATGCGTCCATTACGAGTGCATTTTCCTTCCAATCGCTTCCAAGCTAGCGGCAGCACTACATCATTTAGAGTTTGAAAAGGACCGCTGCTTACTTGCGCAGACTAATAATAGTAAATTGTTGTTACCAGTGGCATTAAACCCGTCACCGAAAATAAGACGACAGCGTATCTGTTTCCATAAAAATAGACGGGATTTATTGCGAGCTTTTTCTTTTTAAAGAAAAGTTAGGACTCGTCGCGCCCGTTGACAATATCGCACAAAGCTGCGGAAAATAAAGTCTCCGCCGCCGCCTCTACTACGGCATGACACTGAAACAAAACTGAGACACAATATATAAGTTTTTGTTCCTCATGCGAACAAAACAAAGCAGTCGGAATGGTGCATCAAAACTTCTGCAACTTTTCCGTCTTGTCTCTATCAGAGACTTGTGTCGAAAATTCGATCGCTCCACTTTCAACATGCCATTACCCCTCTCTCATTCACTCTCTCTCTTTTTTTGCAGCGACGTACGAGACCACCCAGGACACGGACGGATTATTTACGGAGACTGCCAAGCTCAATGTTCGGCTAACGAGAGGCGATTTAAAGGCGCGTTACGAATGTCGGGTTGCCAGCGACGCTCTCCAACGACCGATGATGGCTTATCTCGACATGGAAGTGCTCGGTAAGTAGCTCGTAGTCTATTTCGAATTTAGTCACCTGAACGATTGTTTAACCCACATCACCGAATTGATGCCTGGATACTTGACGTGAAGGACCGCGTAATTCCATTAGCGTATTATCGGACGTTCGGAATTATTTATTGAACTCGATTTAGTTCGAGACATTAGCCTGAATATTGCAGAAGTTCGTTCGATGAACTGACTTAGTTGATTACAGAAACATTGCGCCATATTGTTTCTGCTCCTCTTATTTCACAGTTTCTCAGTTTTTGAGGGCTTTTCTGCACTCATACTTCCAATTTCTTCTATTCTACTGTGCTTATTGAACGCGAACATGAGAAATGCAAAAAAACATGAAGAGAGAGAAGTATGTGAAAGGCGTGCCTAACGTGAGGAGCAGAAACATGTTGCACGCACGCAAGGCAATTACTGCGACTAGAGAAAAAGGGGAGGAGATAGTCAAAACAGTTATCAGGTTGAAGAACGTGTAGAAAGAAACACAATCGTAAATAACGTAATGAACCTAGTGAACCTGTAAGAACTTGCTGAACGTAAAAGACGTGAAAAACCTAGTATTGTTGGGATATGTGATTCTGAAGATACCACCAAACGTCTAATGTATATAAACAAACGTTAAACGAATCGCAAAAGAACAATGCGCTGCGATTAAAAAACAAAACTGCTTCTTTGGATAACCATTTATAAATGGAAATTTTCCAATTTATGGTGAAGTTCAGTTCTTAATTATTGTAATTTATTTATTTTGCGATTCCGTCGCACTCATTTACGATTTAACTATCGGTAGCTTATACCACTCCGCTTAAACGTATTTAAGAATGTGAAGAACGTAGTAAACGTGTTGACGGCGTACCCCTCCCAAAACCCCAAACCGTCTCACTCTCCTACCGAGGTTGGGCATCGTTCTTCAAGTTTCATCCTGCAATTAGACATGCGGAAAAAAGAGAAAAACGCAACCAAACCGAAGAACGCGCAAAAATGTCGGACTTAGAGGAGAATGCGGAAACATAAATAACGACATAAAATTCTACTGAACGTAAAGAAGAATTTACAGAACGTGAGGAAGAAGAAGTTCGCCAACTTTAAGGAGATGGGAAGCAAAATATTTTTAGGGTTCGTAGAAGTTTTACGGCGTGTACAATCCTTCAGGTTATTGGGGTTCGGATAAAATCTATAAAGTTGTTTTGGGTCATTTTTTACCCCAGTGCGAGACCTTCATTACAAACGTGCGGGTGGTTAAAAAAGGCTCTAATAAGACCAATCCGGAATGAGATCTGGAAGGCCCGAGGGTGGATACAGCAGTTTCTATTAGTTCAACCTTCACCCGCACACTCATTAGCCAATATTATATTGATCGCAAACAATTATACGTCTAATGTTGAATCTTTTGTTATAATATTTTCCAACGTCATCGCCAGGGGGCGACCGATTTTTAAGTTTTACCTTGTCCTATGTTTTAAGGTTCCTACGGAGAGCGGGGGGGCGAGGGCGCTTAGAACTATACCTTGGCAGGTCACAGTCTCGTAGCAGATAACATTTGAATCTCACCTTGACTTACATTCCAAAGTCTCCGTCAGGTGGCGAGCGATCTTGAATTGACCCAATTTCGAAAACAAATTCAAGGGGCTCTAACTTTTCATCTAGTCGTCCAATCTTGGAACTGTTTGAAATTATGGATTCTACAGGTCACATTCTATAAGAAAATTTTTTTTCCGGATCGATCTGAGACAATTTTTTTTTCGGGGCTCAAAAAAAAGGCAGTGTATAACCTTCCTTTTTTACCAAAAATCGACTGCACTAAAATTTCTCGGGAAAACTCTTTTTCTTATTAACTTTGGTGCGTAGAATCCAAAACAATTCGTACTTTTTCGATTAAACTTCTCAATCAAAAGTTATAGACTGGAAACCAATTTCGAAAAAAAATTCAAAGGGTTGTAACTTTTGAACTAGTAGCCCAATCTTGGAACTGTTTGAAATTGTGGATTCTACAGGTCACATTCTATAAGAAATTTTTTTTCCGGATCGATCTGAGACAATTTTTTTTTGGGGCCCAAAAAAAGGCAGTGTTATACCTTCCTTTTTTTCCAAAAATCGACTGCCCCAAAATTTCTCGGGAAAACACTTTTTCTTATTAATTTTGGTGCGTAGAATCCAAAACAATTTGTGCTTTTTCGATTAGACTTCTCAATCAAAAGTTATGAACTAAAAACCAATTTCGAAAAAAAATTCAAAGGGCTGTAACTTTTGAACTAGTAGCCCAATCTTGGTACTGTTTGAAATTATGGATTCTACAGGTCACTTTTTATAAGAAAATTCGTTTCCGGGTCGATCCGAGACAATTTTTTTTTCGGGGCCCAAAAAAAGGCAATGTTATACCTTCCCTTTTTACCAAAAATCGACTGCACCAAAATTTCTCGGGAAAACACTTTTTTTTATTAATTTTGGTGCGTAGAATCCAAAACTATTCTTACTTTTTCGTTTAGACCTCTCAACCAAAAGTTATGGACAAAAAACCAATTTCGAAAATAAATTCATGGAATACCCCCGAGGAAAAAGAGAACAAATCTTCCTGACACTGTCATACGACCTTTATATACTGGGGGGTATTCCTACCCCCCAGACCGTCCGGTGACCGAAAGAAGGGCTGTGGTCGCGATCAAGGACGAACTAATTCAGCGCGCCAGTATATTTTCGTTACCGTACAGAGCTATCGTTAAAAATTCAGTGTAGTGGTTCACTCCCCGTGAAACCAGTGAGGGAATTGCACTCTGTGACGCCTAGAGAACTGCAAGGAGGGTCGTATCTAGCCTAATTTTATATCAACATCGCACCTATTACTTGAGGCTCCGTTATTCTATTTATATAAAATTAATCTTTAAAAAATCATCGTAAATTGCAATTGATTGAAAAACGAACTTAGGAAAATTTTAATTTATATGTTCTTAAAGAGATTAACCTAAGGCCAATTGAAGGGCGTTTTGTATTGCATGTATTTCACCATTTAACTAGAATTGGATTTGACAGATCCTAGCGCTCCCAATAAAATCCTACATTAAAAAAATTCATTCCCGAACCCGGATTCGAACATGGGCTCTTCTTGTCTGAAGTTAGGCATCTAATCAACAGACTCATGTCGCAGGAGTTTTATATTGGTAATTCAACTGTACGGACTTGGTGGATATTTCACTTTAGTGGGTCGAGATACCGGCCACATTATACGACTAGTCAGTTTTCTTTGTTCTTTTAGAGACTGGCGAATTATTCGAGCGTATTTCGAAGATCCCATCCCTGTCCTACTTTTTCCTCCAAAGTTACGCGGAGCGTACAATGGAAGGTGATTTATGTGCAACACTTGTATTTCACCCAAATAATAAAGTACGCCGTCATACCTATCCCTTGCACGCGGGGATCGTTTAATTATCCCATTCCACAAACCTGCAACCTTACAATTAATCGCGTTTAAACTCCATTTTATTCCAATGAAGGAGACAATACCGCGAAGAGGTAACCAACTACAATACGTGCCATTGACAGTCAGCGAGCACCTTTGAAGTGACTAATTCCGCAACCCCTGCAGCTTCCGTACATTTAAGTGTTCCGATTTTGATCCCGCTTTAATTAAAGTTAAGATCACAATGTGTTTTGCGAGAACATCCGAGCGTGTAACTAAAACCGCTGATAATTTAAGTTCCTCCGCCGCTCCGAGTAATTGTAACGCGTTTATTACGCACTTAAAAAAGAGTAGAAAGACAGCGGTACGTGCCCGCACAATGGCCGTAATTGAGGGATGACTGTTTTCCCAAACACGGTCTATATCAACAATTCCCCTCTGAAATCAAATTGTTTCCTGCAGGCTCGCAAGAAGTCCCCCGAGAGGTCTTTCCTTTATCGAGTAGCATAGTTGAGTGGATATCAGCACAATAACAATTGAATAGACAATGGTATTCTAAGGAGCGACTGAAATCAGTTTCATTATTGCCACTCCTCGCAAGGCCCTCTCGTAGAAAAATACACTCGACTCGACCGATAAGGAGGAGGAGGAGGAGGATAAATTTCCGCTATCTTTATTCCGCACAATGCGCGAAAAATAGATTGACAATAAATAGTCTTCGTTTAGATGGCCGAAATAAATAAAAATTCCCTGAGGATTTCCTACCTGAAAAATCTTTATAAGCAAAGTACGGTAACGTTTCGTGTTCCATTCCGACTGTAATGCCCATGGGCTCCATCGAACGCAAGCCCAACTTTTTGTCTCTGAGGATGCATTGTTCAACAATACGGTTACGGCTTTCACATAAAGTTATAATACAACACTAGCAATTTGGCCTCTTTCATTTAATTGCCGTCGCGTCGACGTTAATTAACATCCGCTCGCCGCGAAACGTCGTCCTGTCAAGTTAATGCTAGTTTATCTCACGCTACAAAATACGTGGTTCTTGGGCCGTATAGAAGTATACTCAATAGGTTCAGAAAAAGAATGCCAGTTGGTTAGACAAAGTCACGTCATAGCCGCTCCGTATAGATTTTTTATGACGAAGTTAGTGGGCCGCCTATCCCGGATAAAACAATAAATTATTGTAATTACGATATGCCATTCTGATCACTCTGCTGGTCGTTGCCCATGTGATCCTGCTCAAATTTGTTCCGCTTCAGGGAATTGTGGAATTAAATATGAAATGATGGTAATTTCTTGCCACTTTTGGAACGTCGCCGTTGTGTGTTACCTGTATTGGATACCCTTCTCTTTTTCGCTATCCTAGACTCTTTATGTACAGGGGGGTGTCATACCCCTCAGAACCCACGGTGCTATTTCATCGGTGATTTCACCCCTACAGCCTATTCATACTGATCAGTGTAGCAAACTAACTTCAGGATGCATCTACGAAAAAGGTGGTATAGGGTGGTCTGGGTATAAGGTCCTCAGTAATACCCCCATTACACGAAAATCCTATAATAGCCGAAGGGAAACGGATACGGGACACCCTTCTTTTCATGGCTATTGTAGGCTCTTCGTATGCTGGGGAAGTATTCTATAACTTTGTGGTTCAATGGTTGAGCGTTGGGCTATAAATCCGGAGGTTGGGTGTTCGAACCTGGGTTGAGGTGAATTTTTCATCTGTGGCAGAGATGGGAACATGCTGCCGGCTACTCTGAATTAGGATCTCCTGCAGTTTTCCTAATACCAGAGTAGTATAGAACAACTTAAGACCTTCTTCTGCAGGGGCACCTCGAAAAAGCATTATGCGGGTCACTCTGTAATTGGGCGCAGGCCTTTTGAACGCCCAGAACAACAGAGGGCTAATAAATAAATACATAATTAAATAAAAAACTCCTAGAACCCCCCCAACGGTACTGCTACGTTGTTTCCCAGAATCGTTGAAACAATTCCATAACTTTTGATTGTGAGGTCTAATCGAAAAAGTACGAATCGTTTTGGATTCTACGCACCAAAATAAGAAAAAGTGTTTTCCCGAGAAATTTTGGTGCAGTCGATATTTGGTAAAAAAGGAAGGTTTATACACTGCCTTTTTTTGAGGCCCGAAAGAAAAAATTGTATCAGGTCGATCGGGAAAAAACATTTTCTTATAGAATGTGGCCTGTAGAATCCATAATTTCAAACAGTTCCAAGATTGGTCTACTAGATCAAAAGTTTCAGCCCTTTGAATTTTTTTTCGAAATTGGTTTTTTGTCCATAACTTTTGATTGAGAAGTCTGATCGAAAAAGTATATTTTCACTTCTTAGATCTTACGTATACGCAAAGTATTATTCACACATGATACTATTACTCAGTTCTTCAGGATTAGAACTTAGATCAGTTGTAACTGTTTTCTAATCCTTTTTTTGCGTGATTCTCTCTATAACTTTGACTTTGTTATTTTTTTTACCAGCTTGCAAAAAATAAAGCATATTATTATTATTATTATTATTAATTGTTTTGGATTCTACACACCAAAATTAATAAAAAAAAGTGTTTTCCCGAGAAATTTTGGTGCAGTCGATTTTTGGTAAAAGAGGAAGGTTTATACACTGCCTTTTTTTGAGGCCCGAAAAAAAAAAATTGTATCAGATCGATCGGGAAAAAACATTTTCTTATAGAATGTGGCCTGTAGAATCCATAATTTCAAACGGCTCCCAGATTGGGCTACTAAATCAAAAATTACAGCCCTTTGAATTTTTTTTAGAAATTGGTTTTTTGTCCATAACTTTTGATTGAGAGGTCTAATCGAAAAAGTACGAATCGTTTTGGATTCTATGCACCAAAATTAATAGGGAAAGGTGTTTTCCCGAGACATTTTGGTGCAGTCGATTTTTGGTAAAAAAGGATGGTTTATACACTGCCTTTTTTTGAGGCCCGAAGAAAAAATTGTCTGAGATCGACCGGGAAAAAACAGTTTGAAGATGGGGCTGTTGGATCAAAACTTACATGGTGCAGTTTCTTCTAGGTCTCCCAGAAATCCAAGCGCTTGAAGTCTACATAGAGTTATCAATAAAGTGAAGTAAACGAACTTTTAACAAATTGACGTAGTGTGACACGCGTATCTCGTGCGTAAAATGTGCGCACGTTGCGGATTTTAATTGCCGAACACAAAGGGCGCTAATAAATTATAATAACGCTCGAAAATTCGACATCCTTCAGTGAGAAGACAACTGGCGTGTGTGTCTTACTCAGATGCATCACTGTCGCGGTGGCTCCCGCGGGAGATTCGAGGTAAAATTCTTGGGGAATTAGAGTAAACTCGTTTTAGTTGCCGAATTAATAGATGTGTCTTCGCTTCGTGACAGTGACGTATTCATATTCGTTATCCCGAGGAGTTACGTGCAGGATCTCTATCTGCGTTGCAACGTCACATTCTGAGCCATAAATTAAAGAAACCATTTCTGCTCATTGTGCAAACGTTTACGGTCCTACGGTTAATAGCTTTATGATTACAACTTGTATGGGGCAGCGATGATGCTTGCATTTCTTATTATGACCTTTATTAGCAATAATCTCTATGGCGCTGCAATGAGTTTGTATTTCTAAGGAGCCTGCCGGGTAGGAAAGTAATTGCGATAAGCACGTTATTCATCCGTAAATTTCAGCATTACCTAGAAAATTTACATCGTTTTACGAAAGTGGATCGACTTTGAAGTGCGGGCGTCCGATAGAAAACGAACTTTACCCACACCGAGAATTTATGTAAAGCGAGAGGAAATGAAAATATTATTATGGGTTTTGCTTTGTTTCAGTGCGGCCCTCAGACATGAAACTTGAATATCAGGAGCAGGTTGTTCAGGGTAACGACGTTCTGATTATATGCGATGTTTTCGGCGCAAACCCCGCGGCGGACGTCAAATGGTTCAACAACTCTAAGCCCATCACGAATGAAAGCCTTGTTCATACCGTGCCCGAGGCGATGGTGAGTTTCGCAAACATACTTTCAGCGCTATTACCACCTTTCCATTATAACAAAGAAATGTAAAAGCGCGCCCTCTAGCTACGCAATTTGAAATTTTTTTCTTAACGAAATTCCTCGTTCGGGAATAACAAGAGTCTTAACGAAATCGAAATTTTGCTTTCAGCCGATTCTCACTAAAATTGAGGATAACGTAAGTATCAAGCTGCATGCTCGTTGTGAATTTTGTTGAGTTGAGTGGATTTTGAGTTATGTGTAACCCAATGAGGCTTAGAATAACACCAGGCTGTATCTCGTATATAATTTTAAAACGAACCTTCTTCATTCGTAGCTTAAATGGCATGACATTTTTAAGTTTTGCTTTTTAACTTTTTTTAATCTGCTGGATCTAGTAGACCTTAAGCAGCATTGGAAGGGACTAGAACACTTTGGAGATGGTTTAAAGTGTCAATAGATTTGGAAAGTTTGTCAAAGGTCTGAAAAGTTCTAGAGACGACTTAGGAAAAGCATAGAAAGCCCTTAAGGGACTTTGAAGGTTTTTAGACTGGCTTCTATTCAGTTTTAGAAGACTTTTCCGCTGATGTCAGCTCCCCCTTTTTGGTCAATCAAACATATAGATGCCCTTAAGGTGATCTAGCGGTATTTCCCGGGGTCTTTTATATAAATATTTCGTAAAATTGTCTAGATTTGCTCGGTTTTCGAAAGATCCTGGAAAACTGGAAAGTGAAGGCTACTGAAGATTCCATAGAAAAGAAGTAAATTCGGTTACACTGGAAAACGCATACAGGACTTCTAGCTCTTTTCAAGGTCTTTGAAGCGAAGTTTCGAGCAATCAAAAACCTTCCAGGGGACCCTTCCTAACGTTCGATTGTTGTAAAAAGCACATAAAGGGCTCTTGAAGGCCTTTAAAGTGCTTCTAGATTTTAAGTGATTTCCAGAGCAGTCAAAACCCTCAAAGAGGTGTTCTTGCTAATTTTTGTGGACTTTTCAAGGGCTTTTTATTCTAGTGGCTGAATTAGATGATTTCAAAAGCTCTAGAAATGACCTATAAAAATTTGAAAGTCCTTGAAAAGTTAGATAAAAGTTCACGAAATCTCTAGAAAGCTCTCAGGAAAGCACACAAACGGTTCAAGAAGAGACTTCTAACTTTAGTAAGTGGTTTTTTCCCTTCCAGTGGGACTTTGATCGCCTTTCTGAAGTTTTGTAGAACTTTAGAAATCTCTGTTTGGCAATTTTGGTATTTGGGTCAGAGGAACTTTGAATAATCTGTAAACGGCATTAAGGCTTTACGCAAAACCTTGAAAAAGGGAAGGGTGGCCTTGGAAAGTCTTTACAAAGCGTCTACACCAAGATATTTCTAGGACCTTTACTCGCAATGTCAAGAGCCTTTGAGGTATTCGCCAGAGCTTTCGGTTCTCCCTTACTTTGGAAAGATCATAGAAAGCGCTGGATGAGCCCCTAAAGTTCCTGAAATGACTGTGGAAAGTTCTCAAACAATTTTTCAGGTGCCTCTTGTGCTTTCCGCAATATTTAAAGCGCTTTAAACAGTAGTGGTTCATAGAGAGCCTCCAAATGCTTCTAATACTTTTCCATATTGAAAGGCTCTAGAAGGGTGGCTCTGGAAAGCTGTCCACAGTTCTGCAAAGTACTCGAAGGGCTTTGGAAAACGCTTGTTATTGGTTTATAGAGTTATTACCAGAGCAATCGAAAGAGAGCCTTAGATCGCTTTATTCAGTATGTATAATAGAAGTTTTCTAGCTCTTCTCCAAAGCTTTATTTTCATTTGATGAGCTAGTTGAATCTAAAATGAATTGGAAGGCATCTAGGATTGTCTGACCTAGACATAAGTACCTTTGAAGGCTCTAGAAAGTACTAAACTGGACATAAAAGCTCAGAAAAGCTCTAGATTGATTCGGATGGCCAATAACAGAATTGGACAAGGTTTAAAAGACTTTGCTTACGCTATTTGACCTAAAAGGATCTGGAAAGCGCTAGGAGTCTCTGCTGGCCTTCGAAAAGTTTCCAAAAGCTCTAAAGAGGCGACCAATGGACTCAACCGAGACCCAGAACGGTCTTCTAATACCTTGCCAGGGATCTCCAGGGTCCCTTCTAAAGCCCATTCTCGAGTTAAAAAGCCCAGAAGTAGAGTAAAACGTAAGAAGAAGATGAAAGCCCCCATCAAACTCTTAAAGCTCATTTCAGTGTCCTTTACATTACTTCGGAGATAATCAAAGGCGGCTCTCTAGAATTTTGAGGCTCCATAGGGCCTTCTACGCCTTTTCCAAATCATCTCTTTAGAGCTTTTCTAGGCCTTCCCCAAATCATTAGTTCTCTTTCCCGAGCTGGTTTATCCCAGAAAACCTCGGAAAAATTATAGAAAGATGTGGAAAAGTCTGTAAGATTTTGAAAAATCTTAGAAAGGCATCAAAAAGCTATGGGTAGGTACTAAAATTGCGTACGAAACCTCTGGAAAACTGTATATTCCCTTATAAAATAAGTAAAGTGCTTTGAAAAGTGTATAAAAGGCGTTGCATTTCCTTTTGGCGCCTTTTATGCTCCTTAATCCTTGCGGTCTGTAGAGCATTAAAAAACCCTTTCAACCTTCCTGTCAAGATTTTCTACGTTTACGAGTGCCGAAAAAGCTCCGGAAAACAGCTACAAAGTTTTGAAAATTGGGTAATGGCTCCTAAAAATGATTAAAAGGGCCTGAAAAGGCATAAAAAGGCTTGACATGGTCCCCTCAGGAATGCACATCAACCCTTTAAATGGTCTTCTAGGCTACTTAGAACCTTCCAGTGCTTTCCGAGGAGCCCCCGATTGCGTTCTTGTAATTATGAACCTTTTGAAACCATGCTACGTCACTAGGCCGTTTCCATAGTTTTCTATGCCATTTACCGAGCTAGATTAACCTCAATAGCTCTGGAAAGGAACCGGAGATATCGGCAAATAGGGCACTGTGGTGTAAATGTGCCTGAATGCGACACACAGCACAATGAAAAGGCGCAAAGCTCCTTATGTGGAGCCTTTTAGGGTGCTCCGTAAGAGTCTTAAGCTGTTTAGGCCAACGAAGCTCTGCAAAAGAATCAGGGATTGCTCGTTATGATTTTCCAGAGGCCTGTCGCATAGTTCACGTGTGTGCTTTCCAAAGCAATTGATAGCTTTCTTAACAAATTTTGCGAATTGCTTTTAGTGTCACGTATTTCGATTGCATAAACCTCTACGGAGATGATTTTGTGTGGAAATTTTCTTTCAAACCGTCCCGCTAGTTTTTTCGTTCAGTATTGTAAGAAATATTAACATTTCCACGTGCGTTCCGTAAAGTAAAGCTCGAACTGAGAAGTGCATTGTATATTTAGACTGTATAAACCTGTACGGAAGATCGAGAGTAAACGTCAGTTTTTTAATTATTTCTGTTCCTATATCGCATATTGCGATGGGTGGGAGCTTCTGGCGGAGTGCTCTCCAACAATGCAATACAACTTATCGATCTTTCTCTAATATAAGTGCAGAAGTTTCCAGGAAACCCTGGTCACCAAAAGACAATACAAACAATAGCACTCTCCAACAAACTTGCCAAGGAGGTGTTGTGCTAAAACCAAAGTTTCATGCTCGGTGAAACTTTAAACAAGTTTTTAATTCCTTTCACCGATTCTTGAAAACGGTAACGTAAGCAACTATTTTAATATCTCGACGTTCTCAACTTTAAATGGAAAATTGCATTCGGTTTATTTATGTAAACGAGGTTCGCAATCCTAAACGTACCCAGACAGCGATACTTTTAAGTCTACCCCAACTGCTGAAGTTAATAAGATGCAAAAGTGGGAAGACACATGGATCGCAAGTGCAATAAATTGTTCTCTCGTACGTAAAGCTGCGTGAGATTACTCTAAAGTTCGCTCGTACGTTGCGAAGTTTCTGAATTTCTGCCCTTTTGTCAGCGGAACGGGACGTTCACGACGAAAAGCCAGCTGCAGTTCAGGGCGACCCGATACGACAACGGCCAAATTTTCCACTGCTACGCCGAGAATTCGGTCATACGCAACAAGACCGCGCTCTTCCACAGGCAGGTCCTGATCCAGGTGAAATGTAAGTAGATTCCCGTAGAACGTCGGCGGGTACTAACCGGTCGCGCAGATGCTCCGGTCGTTTCCGTGAGTCCGGAGAATACGACGACGAACGAAACGGCGCAGAACATACTGATCGGGTGCAGATACACGGCGAACCCCTTGGAGCTTAAGGCGGTTTATTGGTAGGGCGCGAGGATGCCTGGTTTCGCAAAAACTGATCGCGTATTTGCAGGATGAAGAACGGCAAGAATTTGACTTTAAATAGGGAGAAGTACGAGGGTGGGACGCCGCTGCATCCGCCCCTTATAATCAAGAATGTAACGCGAGACGATATGGGGGAGTACGTCTGCGCGTGTATGAACGACGTCGGATTATCCGAGTCGGAAAACTCGGCGTACCTGAACGTGCAATGTAAGTGTCTTAAGTTCACGCTTGCTCCGCTTCTGTTCTAATAACCACCCTCTGCGTGCGCTAATGCTTTCGTTTCAGATCCCCCGACGGTTGAGGTAATCATGGACCCGGAGGCCCCCGTCAAAGCGGTTGACGGGGTTAACGTGACCGCAATGTGTAACGTGGTCGCGGGTAATCCTCCGACTCTTCTAAAGGTATCCGTTTCAGTGGTCGAGCGAGTTTCACATGCGAATCTTCTAGGTACGATGGTTTCTGGGCGACGATCTTCTGAAGGAGCTGCCCGAGTGCAATTACACTTCGAACGACGTGGACGGTTACGGGGGGCTCTACTGTAACGTGGACCCTAGTATTCTCAGCTTGGTTACCGTCGACCAAAGTTTTGCGGGCAATTATACTTGCAGAGGGATGAATATTTACGATTGGGGGGCTCAGTCGGAGCCGACCGAATTGGTTGTTTACTGTAAGCCTATAAGCCGATTTGGGACACTTCATGTCTTCTGCTTTTAGACCCCCCAAGCGGCGCGAAGCTGACTTACACCCCATCCAAGGTGATAAAGCGGGGACAGGTCGACCTTCACTGCTCCGTCGAGCACGAGGGCCGGCCCAAGAACCTCACCTACATCTGGTACCGCGGAATTCACAAAATGTCCGGGGAGACCTCGTCGAAATTGACGATCAACCCCGTCAAGCTAGACACGCGGAACAACTTCACGTGCTCGGCGAGTAACGAGGGAGGAATCAGCGATTCGTCGACTGTTTTCATTAACGTGTCGGCCCCTCCTACGTTTATCACTCCCCTAACCTACCAGCACGTCAGAAGCTTTCAGCCGAACATGTCGCTGACGTGCCGAGTCGAGTGCTCTCCCCTCTGCTACATATCCTGGTTCAAAGAGAACGAGCAAATTGACACGCGGAACACTAAGCTCTACGACATCAAAACCACGATTCGGGACGCGAACGGAAAGACCGGCGACTTTGAGTCGATCGAGTCCACTTTGGTAAGACCCTCCTCCCAGATTAGTCGCCCTCCCTCAACCACTTGCCTCAGATTTGGAACGTCGACGCCTGGCCGACGCATCCCTTCGCCAAAACCGCCCCAACCGTCCACTACATGTGCATCAGCTCCTCGAACGGTTTCGGCAACGGGGTCAACGCCTCCGTTCCGGTGGAAGTAGAATGTTAGCTCACCACCCCCCTCGCGGGGGCCGTTAACTTGGCCTCCCCACTGAGAGATTTGATAGTCGTATTATTTTAAAATGAATGCGCTCGTTATGCGCCACCGATAATAACTTTTGCGCCATTATCGTTTTTTAGAAATCCGAAAAAACATTAGGGGGGGGGGGGCAAGCGAACGTAACCCCCCCCTCCCCCCGTACGTATTTTGTCCCTTGTAACTAGGTCACCTGATACATTTGGTTATGCGCTCAATTGCGCCACTTGAATTAAAGCTAGCGCCATTACGGTTAAGCCGTGACAAATTTTCAAAAAGTGGGGGGGCCAACTTAACGTTTTTAAAAGTTACTTTTTTTTAACATCTTTTCATACGAAATTGTACTCTCAGGTATGCGCCGTAAAAAGATACCTTTGCGCCATTCTTGTTTTTTGGTTATCCTTAAATATATTTGGGAGGGGCCAAGTGAACGGAACCCCCATAACGCATTTTGCTACCGGTATTTGTGCCACTCGATACATCTGGTTATGCGCTCAATTGCGCCACTTGAATTAAAGCTAGCGCCATTATGGAAAATCCATAAAAAAATTTAAAAAGTGGGGGGGGGGCTAACAACGTTTTCAAAAGTTACGTTTTTTAACATGTCTTTTCTACTACATCGTACTTTTCATCATGCGCTAAAATGCGCCGTAAACAAAAATCTGCTCCAATATTTCTCGGGAAAACACTTTTTCTCACTAATTTTGGTACGTAGAATCCAAAACAATTCGTACTTTTTCGATTAGACTTCTCAATCAAAGAATTATAGACTAGAAACCAATTTCGAAAAAAAATTCAAAGGGCTATAACTTTTGAACTAGTAGCCCAATCTTGGAACTGTTTGAAATTATGGATTCTACAGGTCATATTCTATAAGAAAATTTTTTTTTCGGATCGATCTGAGGCAATTTTTCTTTTGGGACTCAAAAAAAGGCAGTGTATAACCCTCCTTTTTTACAAAAATCGACTGCACCAAAATTTCTCGGGAAAACACTTTTTCTTATTAATTTTGGTGCGTAGAATCCAAAACAATTCATACTTTTCCGATTAGACTTCTCAATCAAAAGTTATAGACTAGAAACCAATTTCGAAAACAAATTCAAAGGGCTGTAACTTTTGAACTAGTAGCCCAATCTTGGAATTGTTTGAAATTATGGATTCTACGGGCCAAACTCTATAAGATAATGTTTTTTTCCGGTCGATCTCAGACAATTTTTTTTCCGGCCTCAAAAAAAGGCAATGTATTACCTTCCTTTTTTACCAAAAATCGACTGCTCCAAAATTTCTCGAGAAAACACTTTTTCTCACTAATTTTGGTGCGTAGAATCCAAAACGATTCGTACTTTTTCGATCAGACCCAAATTTCGACTATATATATATGTATAGGCCCCTCCCAAATATATGTAAGGATAACCAAAAAACAAGAATGGCGCAAAGATATCTTTTTACGGCGCATTTCAGCGCATACCTGAGAGTACAATTTCGTATGAAAAGATGTTAAAAAAAAGTAACTTTTAAAAACGTTAAGTTGCCCCCCCCCCACTTTTTGAAAATTTGTCACGGCTTAACCGTAATGGCGCTAGCTTTAATTCAAGTGGCGCAATTGAGCGCATAACCAAATGTATCAGGTGACCTAGTTACAAGGGACAAAATACGTACTGGGGGGGGGGGCTACGTTCACTTGCCCCCCCCCCATGTTTTTTCGAATTTCTAAAAAACGATAATGGTGCAAGAGTTATTATCGGTGGCGCATATGAGCGCATTCATTTTAAAATAATACGACTATCAAATCTCTCAGTGGGGGGGCCAAGTTAAGGGACCCCCACTCGCGACCGCAACCGCTAAACCGTCAACTTGCAGATCCCCCCGAAAACCTGACCCTCACCAACTACACCGTCTCGGTAGTCGAGGGCAAGTACCCGCCCGAGGTTTTCTGCACCGGAAAGGGCTTCCCCCACCTGCACTACTTCTGGAGGAGGCAGAACTCGAGCAAAATCCTCTCGTACACGCAGGCGCTAACGTTCGAAACACCCGTCTCGAGATCTCAATCGGGCAGCTACGTCTGTGAGGCGAATAACACGCATGGAATCGCTCAGGCTGTGTTGCACTTAGAAGTTCAATGTAAATCACCCCCCCCCCCCCACTAACTTCTCGAGTACTAATCACGCTCTTGCAGATCCTCCCCAGTGCGTAATCACGAAGGGGGAGTACAACGGGAACCCCGCGCTCCTGTGCATCGTCGACGCGAACCCCGACAAGGTGGCGTTCACGTGGAAGATACAGGGGGCGAACGACTCGCTCGACGAGCCGCTCAACACGCGCCAGGAGGGAGTGCGCGGCTTCCTGCTGTTGCACTCCGGCGTCGAAACGCTCCGCACCTACCAGTGCTTCGCGACTAACAGCGCCGGAACCGGCTCCAGGTGCATCATCGACGTTACCGGTAAGAAACCCCTCAATCGACACAGGCCCGGCTTTAACTTTGTCACCTTCGTCAGCCTATCAGGAGCAAAGTAGTCAAGTGGGAGCTCCAGGTAAACCAAACCATTTGTAGTTATACGCGCATGGTGCATGTGCACACACAAATACTTTTCTCCTGGTTGCACTTCGGCCTTTCACTACCGGTGACTAACGGCATGATTTCAGGGGAGGCGGCGCGCTGGTGGCACGTCTTCGGCACCGGCAACAACGTGATACTCATCGTGATCGTCGTGGGCATCATTCTATGCGCCATCTTCGTGTGCATCATCATCATAATCATCATCTGCGTCTGCAAGAGGAGGAGGGCGCGGAACAAATGTAAGTATTCACGCGAAATCCCGATAACGCACCGGCGCCATTTACTAACGTGTGTCGTTTTTTTTTCTCTTTTGATTTGCTAACGACAGATAACAATCCGGTGGAGATGGAGGAGCGCGAAAAGTAAGTCTCATCCTGACGTAGCTTTGATGGGGAAGGTTGCGGACTTTGCTTTGTTTCACAGGTCGCTTGACCGGCACATGCAAATAGATAAAATGAAAGACTTTGGGGAGAATAATTTGGAATATTTTGTAGTCTTTAATCCTGTGCAATAAAAACTGTGATATTTATTTTTCGATTCTATTGCCGATTTGAGTTTTGTTTTATGATCATTTGTTATCGTACTGCATGAAACCCCCGCAATTATCGGTTAAGGTAAGCAACATTTTTATCCACCACTTTTAGTGTAAGTACTTATACGTGTTTGTGGCGTGCCTTTTACTTTCGCTTTCGTTGTTACATTCTTGCACATTTTCGCTTCCTTTATTTAAAAGTTAGACGTTCAGTTTGTTTCGTTATATCACAGATTAGTATTGCACATTTAATTTTAAATTTCAAGATAGTTGTGATATTGTCTATCGGCGGAAGCGTACTTTACCAAGGCTTTTGTTAAAGTTTACGAAATCCTTGCGGAGTTCTTCTGAGAGGGACCCTTAACTTGATCATCTAGATCTGAAATTTCACTCTGAAAATTAAATACAATAAAAAGTTGCGCGAGTAGTATTTAAATATTTAGACCAGATGAACTACTACGGAGTAATTTAAACACATAAATGGGTGTGCATTTCTTAAATTTAAAGAAACGGACCAAGCGCAGGAAAACTAGTTCACAAAAACACCTCTAAGAACGCCAAGACTTCTACGGACAGCACGAAGTATTTACATATTTGGACCAGATGAACTTCTATGGAGTAGCGATGTTTAATAAATTTAGACCTGCGGACTTCTTAAATTTAAATAATCCACAAAAACACCTCTAAAAACGGCAAGAATTTTAAGGACAGCATCAATTCCTAGATCTCAAACTCTTCATGAGCTACATGTGGAATATAAGAACTTCAAGTACACCCAGAAAATATCCATAGCTTACCAGCGCAAGAGTATAAGTACCGAAACTTCAAAAACTCAATGAATGTCATGACTTGCCAAATTGTAGTTGCCCCAGCAGCTTTAGTAACTTTATGAGGCATGCTGCCACTTTAGAAAGTTGATGCCCCAAAGAAAATTTCAGTGTAAAATACAAGAACTTCAAAAACCCCCGGGTACAGGAAAGCTTGAAGAAGAACTTCATCTGCATATCCTGTAGAAATTTCGGGAATTTCAAAAGCTCCAGAAGTATAAAAGCGTCAAGAATCTGGAGATACCTTGCGCCCAAAATTCACTGTATAATTTTAAAGTTAAAAGTAGGAGTAATCCTTCGGAAATAGTGCCACAACGATTCGAGCTTCGAGCACAAGTCAAGCTCCAATTTTTTTCCAAAATTCTATAGAAATATCGTGGTGAGGTTAGAGGGCATCTTTAGGAGCTCAAGTGCCATAAAATCTGTACACCAAACTACAAAAATGGCAGGATCTATACAAATAACTCTCGTGTCCCAATTGTCCTGTCTAGCTGCTACTTAAGGTACGGTTTCGCTGGAGCAGCTACACAGGACAGTTGGGACACGCGAGCTCCAACAGGGGTGAAGGTGGAAGGGGTCGCGACAGTCGCAGATTGCAGTTTGAGACCTCGAGTTCGCATTCGTTTTTGGAGTAAAAATTACCTCGTTAAAACGATTATGGGTAGGGAATACCGGAAAATACCCTCCAGTATACTGAAGAGTGTTCTTAGAGAAAAATATAACCAGTGTACCTTTCCCTATAACCAACCCAGAATCTTCGTGTACTGGGGGCTATTCCATACCCCCCAGACCCCCCGGTGCTATATTCATCCTCAAAACGTCTTCAGCTGTTCTGATTTGGTGTTCTGAAGTTCTGGTGGTCATTTCCAGAAAATTACCGAGTGAAGACTAGCACGTCTAAACTGTTCTGGGAAAAAACGTATCACCGGGGGGTCTGGGGGGTATGGAGTGAACGAAGAGTCTAGTATAGTCTTAGAGAAAGGATATCTGTTATCCTTTACCCTACCATTAACCCAGGATCTTCGTGTACTGGGGGGTATTCCATACCCCCCAGACCCCCCGGTGCCACATTCACCCCCCCAAAATGTCCTCAGTTGTTCTGAGTTGGTGCCATATTCTTCCTCGAACCGTTCACCTCCGTTGTTCTGATTTAGTGGTCATTTCCAGAAAATTACCGAGTGAAGACTAGCACGTCTAAACTGTTCTGGGAAAAAACGTATCACCGGGGGTCTGGGGGGTATGGAATACCCCCCAGTGAACGAATAGTCTATGACAATCTTAGAGAAAGGATATCCGAGATCCTTTACCCTACCATTAACCCAGGATCTTCGTGTACTGGGGGGTATTCCATACCCCCCACACCCCCCGGTGCCACATTCACCCCCCAAAATGTCCTCAGTTGTTCTGAGTTGGTGCCATATTCTTCCTCGAACCGTTCACCTCCGTTGTTCTGATTTAGTGGTCATTTCCAGAAAATTACCGAGTGAAGACTAGCACGTCTAAACTGTTCTGGGAAAAAACGTATCACCGGGGGTCTGGGGGGTATGGAATACCCCCCAGTGAACGAATAGTCTATGACAATCTTAGAGAAAGGATATCCGATATCCTTTACCCTACCATTAGCCCAGAATCTTCGTGTACTGGGGGGTATTCCATACCCCCCAGACCCCCCGGTGCCACATTCACCCCCCAAAATGTCCTCAGTTGTTCTGAGTTGGTGCCATATTCTTCCTCGAACCGTTCACCTCCGTTGTTCTGATTTAGTGGTCATTTCCAGAAAATTACCGAGTGAAGACTAGCACGTCTAAACTGTTCTGGGAAAAAACGTATCACCGGGGGGTCTGGGGGGGTATGGAATACCCCCCAGTGAACGAAGAGTCTAGGATAGTCTTAGAGAACGGATATCCGAGATCCTTTACCCTACGATTAACCCAGGATCTTCGTGTACTGGGGGGTATTCCATACCCCCCAGACCCCCCGGTGCCACATTCACCCCCCAAAATGTCCCTCTGAGTTTGTTCTGACCTCCGTTGTTTGATTTAGTGGTCATTTCCAGAAAATTACCGAGTGAAGACTAGCACGTCTAAACTGTTCTGGGAAAAAACGTATCACCGGGGGGTCTGGGGGGGTATGGAATACCCCCCCAGTGAACGAAGAGTCTAGGATAGTCTTAGAGAACGGATATCCGAGATCCTTTACCCTACGATTAACCCAGAATCTTCGTGTACTGGGGGGTATTCCATACCCCCCAGACCCACCGGTGCTACATTCATCCTCAAAACGTCCTCAGTTGTTCTGATTTGGGGTTTGCGACCAATAGCTGAGTAGGCGCATGGTAAAGTTTGCAGTTTTAGACGCCGGCGAGTAGGTACACGTTGTGGGGGTGAAATGGTCATATTCAGAAACTTACCAAGTGAAGAGTAGCACGTCTACACGATTCTGGGAAAAAAACTATCACCGGGGGCCTGGGGGGTATGGAATACCCCCCAGTCAACGAAGAGTCTAGGATAGTCTTAGAGAAAGGATATCCAATATTACTTTCCCTAACATTAACCCAGGATCTTCGTGTACTGGGGGGTATTCCATACCCCCCAGCCCCCCCGGGGCTACATTCATCCTCAAAACGTCTTCAATTGTTCTAATTTGAGGAGACTGAGTAGGCGCATGGTAAAGTTTGCAGTTTTAGTCTCCGGCGGGTAGGTACGTACACGTTGTGGGGGTGAAATGGTCATTTTCACAAAATTACCGAGTGAAGTCTAAACTACTCTGGGAAAAAACGTATCGCCGGGTGTTTGGGGGGTATGGAATACCCCCCTGTCAACGGAGAGTTTAGGATAGTCTTAGAGAAAGGATATTCAACATCCTATTCCCTACCATTAACCCAGGATCCCCCCAGACCCCCCGGTGCTACATTCAGTATGCAGATTGAGACACCGACGAGAACGTATACTTTTTAGGGGTGAAATTGTCTTTTCCAGAATATTACCGTATGAATACTAACACGAGAAATGGTTCTTGGAAAGATTCAGCGGGTGGGTATTCCATACCCATATTGAGAATACGATATTCAGTATCCTCTTCCCTACGACTAATATTACCGGGGTTGCTCTGGGTATGGCATATCCACCTCCCCCACACCGTCGCTGTAGACACAACATTAAAGCAAAATCTACCATAGATGCAGTGGGAACAGATGCTACATAAGCCACAAGGATCACAGCAGCTACCAAAATTACAGCAACCAGAAAACCTGCAGATCTTACAGGAGCGATGTGAAAGGGCACATGTTAAGGAAGATACAAAAAATTCAGACCTTACAGAACATGTGTAATGTGCAGGTATCTTAGAAGCTGTGCTTGCAAATGTTGCAGAAGCTGAAGACGGAGCAGAAACTACTCGAGTTGCAAATCCGCTTTAACTACTAAAACATCAGCCACAGAACCTACTGAAGCTGGAGATGCTACGGAATGCTACAAAAGTTACTCTATAGTTACATATTTAAAGAAAGCGCTTGAGCAATAAAAGCTACGAGATCTACAGACGCTAAAAAAGAAGAAGTCATGGAAAATGTAGAACCTGAAGGAAAAAGATTCAAAGGTCTACTGTAACAGTACATATCTGGAAATATTTGGATGAGATGAATCTTTACGGAGATATTCATACTGCTGCTTAAGAGGCGCCATTGTTTCTTGTTATCGCAAGTTGATTGCGAGAATTTAAAAAGCTTCCTTTGCAATATGAATTTGTGACGTAACAAAAAAGTACTGTAAGCTTTTATCGCCAGTATGTAAACATGAAACCCTCAACAAAGATCTAATTCTAAATTTACTCGCATAAGACACGCAACGCTCGTGCCTTTGACATGATCTAATTCAAATTGTGGAACGAAAGAGCTTTGAGCACCGATGAAAGGCAAACAGCGCAACAAGTGAATTCTCCCTTTTATTACAATACCTAACAAGAAATTACCTGCCTTTTATTAATGAAGCGACGAACGATTTATCCTTTCCCCGTACAATCAAGTGCCGTTGTCTGAAAGGCAAACTTCCAAATTTATAAGCGCCTTACAAATGATGTAATGCAAGCGCAATTAATAAAAACTTAAGCACTCCTTAACATTAAAATGTAATAATTGAAATAAATTGCGAAAGTTTCTCGAGACACGCAAATTTCTAGAGATATAGTTTGAGGGTCCCTCTCGTCGACAACAAAGTACGTTTTCCTATTAACTTTAAAATGGCTTGAATAACGCAATTAACCTGAATTCTTAGGTTCCTTTGCACACAAAGTCCTGATGTACTTGGATTGCCTTTAGTACCTTGCGGACGAGTCACTTATTTAGGAAATTCAGGTAGAAATTTATCAAATAAAGTCCCTTTTATAAAATGCTTATGTTACACTTTGCACGTAAAATGATTACAAATTTACAATATCACCTTGAGTAGGAAGTTTGGTGCTTGGGTGGAACCCGAAACTTCGTTTCGTGCACGAGCTTCAGTTACTAAATTAGTAATGCTTCTTCTGCCTTTAGTTAACGGCTATTAATTTATGTTTGTCTAACGGGCGTTTTTGTTTGTTTGTTTTGTTTCATGTGAATCTGGCATAAAACTATTAGGCCCGACGGTTATTCTCCCGACGTAGCCGCTCGTGCGAAATGGCCGCTGAAACCCGGCGTTTTGGTACACGTGAATTCGATGCGAAACTTAAACATGTGCCAAAGCACCGAGTCGTCGCCGCCCCCGCCCTTGATTAAAACGTCAAATAATAAGTACGCAAGAGGCAAGAGCAAGGTTTATGCCAGATTGGGGAAGTTGCGGGACATTTTAGGATTCGGCGACCACGAGCTGGTTCCGAGCGGAATCTACCACAGTCCTGGAGGAGGTAACCGCTTTAAACTATTAACCACTGCACTATTTCCCCCTTGCGAAATTGTAAAGCGCGCACTTCTTCAGCATTGAATTTGCCAAACAAAAAACTAGGGGACTGAAAACGTGCTCAAAATGAAAAGATACGACCCAGCTAAGTTGAAGTGGTTGTAAATTGCGAGAGGATCATTTCCGTTCATGGCGCGTAATACCTACCTATTTTGCAGTTGCAGTAATACGTTATTTTCTACGACGGGGCACTTACAACGGTGCATTCATTCTGTTTACGTAACTCCACCTTATTCAACGTCTAATTACGTGAACCTTGAAGTGGCGTTTCTACAAATATCAACGCTCGCTCGGCGAATTCATCACGATTGATAAGGGCCACTTTAGTCATGCTCATATCACAGGAAATTATAGAGGCGCAGCGCATTGTCTTTGTAACTTTTCTGAAACCTTCTCCGCAAGATTTCCACTTCTTTATTGCTTTTGGTACAAACAAATTTAGGCAATGAAACAATTTCCTTGCTCTTCTTGAAATGATTTTTTTTACAAAGGACGTATTAACACCTCACTAGTTTCAGTTCGAATTATAGCTTCCGTCTAATGCAATTTCTTCCATCAGAAAAACCCTTAGGTCCCTTCCAAAAATGCCGCTTGTTTAAAACATGCAAGGTAGACCTTCCCATTGAGAGAGGGGGGGGGGAGGGGGCAAGGGGCTGTTCGAAGTTAAATCCTGAGACTGTTACTTTTCTGCGCGCCGAATACAGTTAATTGGTTTCCGTTTTCCTGTCAGACTAACACAGTCTTGCAGTTGAAGGCTAGTGCTCCTAACCCTCTATTTTTCAACAATTTACTACCACTACTACTCCGAGAAAAATTCTGCAATTGATTTTCGTCCGAAGAACTCCTGTTCCCCTGGCCTGACGCTCATGGTTGACCTATACTTGCCAATTATACGATCATTCGGGTGTTTTTGGTGTAAATATAATGTAAGAAGCGCTCATTCGTTTTCTAGTAAAGGAATGTTCATTTCTGTCCTCCTGATCTTTCGTTTTTTGGAAGGGGTTGCTAATAGAAGAACTTAAATCACAGCTTCAGTTTAAGTACTGCGTTCCTAGTCCTTTTTATGTAAGGTATGTAACCAGGATATTGTTAATCTCATACTGATCGAAGTTAGATCTTAAGACTGTTACTTTTCTGCGCGCCGAATACAATTAATTGGTCTCTGTTTTCCTGTCAGACTAACACGGTTTTGCATCTGAAGGCTAGTGCTCTTAACCCTTTATTTTTCAACAATCCAGTAATACACAGTTAAAGTTCTGTTCTCCGGAAAACATTAATTAGTATCCACTTCTATTTTCTTGTCAACTATCTTTCCCCTTTAGTTTTGTGGTCTTAGTCCTAACTACTCATTTCACACCATTTTCCAGTTTTAGCCAGAGGGTTTCACCCTTCTGTGTTTAGATGCAATTGATTTTCATCCGAAGACCTTCTGTTCTCCTGTCCTGACGCTCGTGACTGACCTATACTTGCCAATTATACCATCATTCGGACGTTTTTGGTGTAAATATAATGTAAGAAGCGCACATTCGTTTTCTACTAATGGAATGTTCATTTCTGTGCTCCTGATCTTGTGTTTTTTGGAAGGGGTTGCTAATAGAAGAACATAAATCACAGCTTCAATTTAAGTGCTGCGTTCCTATTCCTTTTTATGAAAGGTATGTAACCAGGATATTGTTAATCTCATACTGTTCGAAGTTAGATCCTGATACTGTCACTTTTCTGCGCGCCGAATACAATTAATTGGTCTCTGCTTTCCTGTCATACTAACACGGTTTTGCATCTGATGGCTAATGCTATTAACCCTTTATTTTTCAACAATCCAGTAATACACAGTTAAAGTTCTGTTCTCCTGGAAAAATTAATTATCATCCACTTCTATTTTCTTGTCAACCATATTTCCCCTTTACTTTTGCGGTCCTAGGAAACTACTAATTTCACACTATTTTCCAGTTTTAGCCAGAGGGTTTCACCCGTCTGTGTTTTAAATGCAATTGTTTTTCAGCCGAAGACCTTCTGTTCTCCTGTCCTGACGCTCATGGCTGACCTATACTTGCCAATCATACCATCATTCGGGCTTATTTGGTGTAAATATAATGTAAGAAGCGCACATTCGTTTTCTACTAAAGGAATGTTCATTTCTGTGCTCCTGATCTTTTGTCTTTTGGATGGGGCTGCGAATAGAAGAACATAAATTCCTTTCCTCTTTTAGTTTTATATAACAAACCCTATACCTTTCTCCTGTCAACAGCTGTACCATCTTGAAATTTTCCAATTCACTTATCTCCTCCTACCCTTTTTAAGGTTTTGCTGTCAAAGGACTGTAAATCGTTTCCAGTTAACCTAAGAGGTTCGTACCCTTCTCTGCTTCCCATGCAATGAACTGCTATGCGAAGAGTTTCTGTTTCCCTGTCAGGCCCCCAAGCAGCTAAAATCTGTTACTGTCGTGCGTTCATTTTTTATTAAGGGGTAGTTTACGTCTGTGCTCCTGGTCGGTTTTTGGAACGAGTTGTTGCTAGAAAAATACGAATAGCCCTCTTCCTTGAATTTAGTTCACCAATTCCTATGGAGAGCTTACTTTAAAGTGCGTTTTCCATTTTATTTCTGTGCTCCTAACATGTTTATGACCTTTTTACCAGGAGATCATAAATTCTCCACTATTTCCGGTTAACCCCAGAGGATCTCAGATTGTTGTGCTTCGGATGCAATTAATTGCCATCCGAAGATTTTCTGTTTCCCTGTCAAACCCCTAGCAAGAAATTCATAAACGAAAATTGTTACCGTCGAGTGCTGCTAGAAAAATATGAATACCCTCTCTTTTCAATCTAACCTAACAATTCCTATACTTTTGCGTTATTACCAGTGCCGCATTTGCGTTTTATTGGGAGAGCAAACTCTCAATTGCACCTTCCTACTTCTGTGCTCCTAAGATTTTCATGGCTTTGTTGCCAGGAGACCGTTAATTCTACAATATTTTCTGTAAACTCCAGAGCGTCTTAGTTTTCCGTACTTTGAATGCAATTAGTTGCCTTCCGAAGAACTTATGTTTCCCTGTCAAGCCCATACCAGAGAATTAATAAACGAAAATTGTTACCGCCGTGCATTGTAAGGCAGTTCCGAGTGTAAAGGTAATGTGGGAAAGGTAGATGCATTTTTTAACTAAAAGTTGTGCTCCTGATCCTTTTTTAATAACCGTTTTACTAAGAGAATATGAATGTTTCTCTGCATTTAAGCTTTATGAAGGATTGTGTCCATAACTTTATTTGGTTCCTCCGTTTAGTACCAACAGAATACTAACTCCACGATGTTCACCATTAAATCCTTCTGCGTTCCAAGTGTAATTAAATATTATCTGAAGAACGTCTGTTTCCCTGTCACAGCACTTACAGCTGTTATGTTCTCTTCTGTGCGCCTGCTCCCTTCTGAAGTTGTTAACAGCTGACCAATTTTTGAACACCTGGGCGTCTTTCTTATAGGGGGTGGTCCAATTTTTTCCGGGAGACGACGAATTCTGTGTTTAGTATCTGTTGGGAACACATGAAGTACGTAAAAATTTTAACCCCTCCACTGTGACACAATTGTTTCTTGGATGTGGCTATACGAAGAGGATACGTTCACCAGAGGTGAAGGGCGCAATTAACTATTTTGTTTAGTATGAGTAGGCTCGTATCTTCTTCACCTAAACTTAAAACGTTAGGTTACAGTCAGTCGTATAACGCCAACTTTAACAATGACTGATAAAACGGAAGCGACTGGGAAATTAGTGCAGTGGCACCATTTGCGTTTACTCATTTTTACTTTTGCATGCGTTTTATTTAGTAGTGACGTTTAAGAGGTTTAATAATCCGCCATCGCGCCCGGAAATCCAGCCGACCGTAGCCTCGAGGAAACGAAAACGGCCAGGTTACGGTACGTAGGCTTTTTCAATCAGTTTTGCTGTTTGCCGATAGCTTTAGTAACGCTCGCTGTACCTTTAACTTCTCAAAATAATCCGTAATTTGTGATTTCAGTGCCAAACCAATCTATTATAGCAGATAGGGACAGATTGGGGGGACACGACGGCTTAACGGAGCCCCTTACTCCCGAAAAGGGTTTCTACGAGAATCTTCCCTTTCATGGTATCCAAACCCCTCCGAATAAAGTAAGTGGTGGTTTTCTCGTGAGCGATTGCCGATTTTGCTTTGTTTGTTTTATTTTGCATGTTTTGCAGCCTATTTCGATTATAACGCCGTTTATGAAGGGCAACGCCGGAAACGTCCCCAATTCCTTCAGCCCACCCCTAAAAATCCAACAGTATCGTCCTGTGCACAGTGCTAAGCCGAACTCGCGCGTAATTCGTCCCGTCCAAAGGCACCAGTCGTTTCACGGATTTGGTACCGAGAGCCCCCTACCGAAGCCAGGTGAACTACCACCCTCCGTGCCCTACAGATTCCCACACGCGTCATCTGGGAACTGTAACTATGGAAGTTTCGCCGATTTGTCGTACCAGAAGCATCGCGTCATTGGCAGACGCGAGCAGCTCAAAGTAACGAGTGAAAATTCGGTCAATACCATAAAATCAACACAACCCCCCAGCGCGAACGAAAAACGCTTCGGGTCGTTGGAACTGAAAAAGCACAAATGCTACTCGCCCACCTTTTATTCCATGAGGTGTAAAAAGCACTCAAAGGGACGCTCTTTAATTTACGCCGTACCGAAAAAAGTAGACGCCGCGTCAGCCGATATCAAAGACGGCATACAAATAATGGGGCAAAATACCGGACTGACAGAAACACCGAAACCTGCCCCGCGTTGCAAGCGACATCGAAAAAATTCGTGCCACGTATACGAAAACGTATCCTCCTTAAAGGGGGATCCCGAAAACTTGGATAGCTCAAATAACAGCTCCGAGAACGGGGTCGAGATATCTGTCACCGAGGCTTTAGTGCACACCGACGATAGTGCAAATCCCATCCCCATCCCTCAAATGCCCCTCATCGACAAGTGGACGCCCGCAACTAACCAGGTGTGTTTTTGTTGTTTTTTTTTTCTTTCTGCTCTCCCAATTACACGGACCCTGTTGTAAGATGTAAATCGTTACCTGGCAATATGTTCGAGACAGCTTTCCAAATTGAAAAATTTTTATCAAGCTGCGAGGGAAAATAAAGTTCAATACAAGGCAATAAATTTCATATTGAGACAAAATAAATTTGTACGGGAGGGCGATTACGTTCTATTGAGCGATAGATGCCAGAACGCCCCCGGAAATATTTCATTGCCGTGCTCTACAAATTTCTTGCATGACGATATTTATCTTTATCTTTGAATTGTAATTTCTCTCTACCGAACCTTCTAGAACAAAAGCGCCTCTAACAGAAACCTAGTTAATTTCTATGCAAAGAAATGGAAGTTTAACTGGGGCGAGAGTAGCACTACTTTAGAAAGTTCTAGAAGATCCCTGAGCGGTCTTAAAAGCTTTTTGGATCTTAGTGACATGTCTTGATACCTGAATCATGATGAAAAACAATATTTATACACCTTTTTCAGTATGAAAACATCAAAACGCCTTGTCTGGACGACCTAAAAGTCCATTTCCTAAGCGTACTAATTTTGGTAGATTGAAAATAGCATCCTGTCTTTCCGATAAAACGATTTACAGACTTACGGGCGCATGCTTGATATGTACTAACCACTAATTCGTGCTAATCCATTTGCAGAACGCTTTTTATACATTAACAACGCCCCATTATAAGCACGTAGCCAGTCCCCAAATATCTCAGCAACAGTACGCGGCCACGATTCCGCATCAAAAACACATGAAGCTCCTGCCGAGATCGCTATTTCAAGACCAGCAGATTTCGAAGAGCAAATCGTTCTCCACCCGAACCAAGCAGAAGAAGCACTTCCAGATCCCGCTGCAGAAGTGCCACAGTTTTAAGTTCCAAACGGCCGAAAGCTACTTTCAGCCGATCAAGAACGTTCACGAGGAGAACCTGATGCGAAACGGCTACGTGTCCGATTTCGGTCCCGGCTATAACGACCGGGAGCACGGTCGCTCGCACAAGCGGGACAAGTACAAAAATAAGGGTCCGCTCGTGCTGAGAAGACCGAGCGAGTACCAGGAGAACTCGTCGAGCGAGCTGCACAAGATGGTACAGCTGCAGTACCCTCAGCCGCTCTACACGAAAAACAAATCAAACACGAACCGACCAAATGGTATTGTATACGCCGATTTAGATATGCCTAAAAGTAGTAATAGTAGTAGTAAGAAAGGGGCGCAGGTGAGCAGCCCGCACTCGCAATTACCAAAAACCAAACCAAAGACTGAATACGCGACTCTCAACTTTAACGAAGTCGGAAAGGAGATCGACGTTTAACAGTAGCGCCCTCTGCACTTGTGTCAGGTTTGTCGCTAGACTAACGACCGCTTCCCGCTGAGGGCGAAATTTCTTACTCCAAAACTCGCGAGAAGTTAATTACAAAGTTGTCACTAATCAAATTGTTGCGTGCCGCCGTTTTTCCCGAATAAAAGGCCGCCGCGGTCCCGAGGGCGTCGTAAAGTTTTCGTTGGGGGTAATTGCGTAATAACGGTCACTTGAATTATTAATATTAGGGCATTAAAACTGACCTCGTTTATTCATAGGGTTGGACATCATCCCGCTTTATTACAGTTGGGTAAGCGTCGTTACTTTAAATTAGCGCGACTTCTTACTCCAATTCTAAATGATTCAGGCGTTTCGTTTGTAATTAAGCGAAAACTGAAGCGAAAAAGCACCCCTGTTTATTGGTCCCGAAGTGGCAGATAATCGTGTTGGTTGAAACGAGGCTTTACTTACTTGAAGCACAGCCCCGAACCCGACAATGAATTTACATTCGAATGAAGGGGAATCTTCCTTTAGCCACGAAGCGTCGGGTATCCAGGTCCGTGGTACCCTTTCTGCGCCCCGCCTTTCCCGTTCTTCATCTAAACCTAATAAAAAAACGGCGATCCTTGCGAAATCATATTTGGATAACAAAATACTGATTCGCTGACATTATTTTCCGCCCGATAGGATTGTTCAAAAAAGCTCATGAGTTTCGAGTTGTTTTATTCGCTTGCGAGTTCCGAGCACTCCTAAAAGTGCTCGAGCGGCTGATCGCGAGCGCTCGGGAAAAGTGCTCGTGAGTGGAAAAAGCGCTCGGGTGCGCAAAAAAACCGCTCGGGAGCGGAAAAAACGCTCGCGAGCGAAAAAAAACCGCTCGGGAGTGGAAACGGAAAAAGCACTCGCGAGCAAAAATGTAGTCACTGAGCCTGTATGCCCTTTAAAATATAATTTGATTCTACAATTTGTTGTAAATGTAATTTGACACCCCATAAAATGAAATACGACAACTAAAGCTTTTCATCTGAACCTTATCGTCACCTGCTTTCTAAGGTATGAGGCCATTGCCTTTATATGACCTTGATATTGTAATTTGATACCACAATAAATGGGTTCATTGTCCTTGGATGACTTCAAACACTTAATTCGACACCACAAAAATGCAGTCATTGACCTTGAATTTGTAATTTTGCAATTTGACAACACAAAAATGGGGTCACTGACCATGAGAGCATTGAAAATGTATTTTGACACCACAATTGAGGTCATTGATCTTCGATGATCTCGAACATTGTAATTTTACACCGAAAAAATGGTAGTAATGACTTTGTATGCCCTTAGGTACCATATTCTCGTGGAAATCAAAACTTTTTTTGATTCAGTTTTCAAACATTTTCGACTTAGATCATTTGAATTTTCAAAATTGTTCGATTCGTTACTTCCTAGTTCAGTAACCGTTAGGTACGAAATTTCGTCGTGATGAGATGGGGAGTGTTTGATTATCCTCCTTTATATAATTTTTTTTTTAATTTTGAAAACTAATTTCGGATTCGTTAGCTTCAAGTTTAACGACCGCTGGTTGCCAACGTTTTCTCACGATTAGATTTTGTCTTTGGTCTTTGGACTTTTTTAAAATGTGGTCCCCAATTTTGAAAGAATTTGACCCCCTTTGCCCCCGTTGCGATTTTCAGTATTTCTGCGCGAAACCATACGATAATGTGACCGATGTGGAGTAAGAAATTGAACCCTTCTTTAGAACAGTGTTGCTCAAATCTACAATTATCAATAATCATTCTGTTTTAGACGAATGGAACGACAACGAGCAGTGACACGTATATTTATTAAAAAAAGGTAATACCCCCGAGTTTCTTGTGTTGCATAATTGTACATTAGAGCATCATGCATTGACGACATTAACAACCCTCCCTTGAAACCTAATCAATTTCCTGTCATGTAAAGGTAAAAGGAGTCTAAAGTGAACGCGCGGCAATCTCGACTTATAAAACAAAAACATCTTTTTTAACTTCCGCTGATGGGTTCGTTTACGCCCCATTTACCTAACGTTATAGTTTATCGCGCGCTTCTTTTTTGAAAATGTAAGTTTCCTTTACTCTTGTGTTGCAGCCCTTCAAGCCGGAATTCAGCGATCTGGTTTACGCTGACGTCGATTATCGTTCCTACGGACCTATAAATTACAAGGCAGCATCATTGAATGCCCTCGCATCCAAAAACAAAAATAAAAATAAGCACTACGATGACATTTTATAAAATATTTTGGTACAGCTGCTAATTCCTTTGTAAATTTTTCTACACTATTTCGATGTAAGTATAAAAGAACGCCCTCTCCCAAAACCGATGTGCATTTTGTGTCGTATTAATTTAAGCATTTTTGAAATACTCAAACTGCCATTGTTACATTTTAATTGTTAAGGTAATTGTAATTTGTAATTAAATCTGTGAATGCTTCAAGCCAAATATGTTGCGAACACTTTGTATATTTTGTAACTAACACTTTTCGGGTGCATAAACAATATTTGGCGCTCAACGAAAAAAAACGTGAACATATTTTTGAAAATTTACGATATTTTTTATGCTCCTCGAAGATCGATATTATTAAGATATAATGGTGTGCCAAAGTTCGACCTTTAAAACTTATTGTGAACTGTGACGTCCAAACAAAAAATTTATTTATTAAAAGAGACCTTTTCGATTTTGGTGTGGTGCTGCAACTAACAAAAAAAACTGTTTTGAACTTTTTATCAAAATAAACACTTAATTATTATTAGGAGATTTGTATAGTTATTACCTTGGAGTATACCCAGTGTTATATCAGATGTAGAGATAAAAAAATTAATAAATTGTTACATTCTTCAACAATGTGAATTTATACAATTTCATTCGAATAAAGTAAACTGCAAAATACAGTTATTCGTTTTTGAACAATCTTCTGTGAAGACTGTTAGTGTTGAGGTTGCTAGTTGAGGATGTACACCGTCACTTGTACAAATTGAAAGGCTAGAAACCTCGCAGTAGAAGACCTATGTTCGTTCTGGACCAGCAAGTGACGTCACACCAATCAGAGACGAACTCGTGACGTCACAGCCAGTGAGCGGTGTGGACCGCCATTTTGTTGGGCGCCATCTTGGATCTGTTGCCATTTTATTAGTCTTTAATTCCGCCATTTTGTTGGGCGCCATCTTGAATCGGTCGCCACTTTATTAGTCACTAAATTAGCCATCTTAGATCGGTTGCCATTTTATTAGTCACTAAATCCGTCATCTTGGATCGGTCGCCATTTTATTAGTCTCTAAGTGAGCCATTTGGTTGGACGCCATCTTGGATCGGTCGCCATTTTTTTAATCACTAAATCAGTCATTTATTTGGACCGTCTGTCTGTCTGCTTCTCTCGCTTCATCCGCCATCTTGGATGTTGTTTTGGACCTGCGTCATCGGTCATGTGATTGCTATAGAAAAAATATTTCCCATACTGACTGAGTTGTCAGCATAAATTTGTAATAAAAATTGAGCTCAGTTGATATAAAATAAATTTGCTTGCTTGAAATTAGTTTCCGGCTTTGTCAGCATAAATATGTAATAAAAATCGAGTGCAGTTGACAAATAGCACGATCAGTATTTCGGAACGAATTAGTCTCGACTATTTTCAGTGTAATCGGTACAATATATCAACAATTCTGACAATATTAACCTATACGGCACGTCCATGCAATTCGAAGTACTACAAAATTGAACTTGGGTATTACTCTACGCTATTACCAAGGCTTACATGATGATTTTACGTTTCGTAACCTTCAATACTGAGTAAGTGAGTTCCCTAGGGCTGCATTTGTGAATATAAAAACAAGTCTCGTGTATGTGCTAATAAAAAAGCGAAGGGTTGCCGAATAAGCGAACGATATGCACTTATATTCTCAAATATCCCATTTAAATTAATAACAAAGCGGAAACTCGAGGCACTCGCTCACTTTTCACGATTCCTAAGATAAAGTCAATAAAAATGCGGCATAACATCGTAATCTAATAATCACGCAGCTAAAACCCTTCAACCCTTTCCCTAATGGCGGAGTAATTAAATAAGGGATTTATCAATGTGTACTCATTCTGTTTGTACAGTACTTTATTTATCCAATTAAAAATTGATTCAATTAATCGCCTCTTCAGCGCGAAAGGGATCTACGTTGAATTCACGTACAAAATATTCTTTTGCGTACGCTACCCGTTGATGGGCGGTCCTTTAGATTTTGGTACGCGTCGTAAAACAATCTCAGTAGATACAAAACGAATTGCTTCCCTTGTCATTGTTAATAATTTTATGCTCATTTTTTGGCACCAAATGAAATAGTGACTAACTTGTAAGGCTCTTCTATGCTTTTGTGTGGCGAAGAAAGGCGTCTTTCCAGAATCTCTTGGGACGCTTTCTACAGCGCCTTCTAAAAGCAGGTCTCGCCTATCGAACGGATTTAGAGGACTAGAATGCTCTGGAAGCCACATACATGAAACAATATCAAGAATCCTAAATAGAGAGAGGTTCTGGGAAGCATTTCCATACGGATTTTCAGGTTCCTATTAAACACTAATCAGAAAGTTTTAGTACCTTTCCAAGCCTCTATAGAATCTCCATGTTTTGGAAGGCAGACGAATCTTCTGGAATGAAATACTAAGACTTTTAAAGGCTTTTAAACGCTTAAAGACTATTAAAGGTTCTACAAGCCCTTTTGCAAACTTTTAGTCTCTGTACATTTTCAAAGATTAGTAAATGCCTTTAAATGCTAGATTCTTAGGGGATTTTAAAAGTGGTTGAACATGCTTTGGTCTTTTAAAGGGCCATTAGTGATCAGTGGTCGTATCTAATGGATTTTAACAGCTGCTTAAAGATCCATTAAGATCACTGGAAGCATATTGTGCGGCCTTTAAAGTTTCTTAAAGACCGAAAGGAGTTCACAAGACCTCTAATGGGCACATAAAGCTTCTCGAGATATTACGGTTTGAAATACCTTCCTTTTTTACCAAAAATCGACTGCAATTTTGACAGCGCCAATCGATAGCGCTGGTCGAGACCTTTCCAACGAGGGGTCGGAAGGCAAATCTCCAACGCACCGTTCTCGAGATATTACGGTTTGAAATTTCGACCATAAATTCTGACAAACCGTAATATCTCGAGAACGGTGCGTCGTAGATATGCCTTCCGACCCCTCGTTGGAAAGGTCTCGACCAGCGCTATCGATTGGCGCTGTCAAAATTGCAGTCGATTTTTGGTAAAAAAGGAAGGTAAAAAAGGAAGGTCACTGCCCTTTTTTTTGGCCCGAAAAAAAATTGAATTTTTTGGCGAAATTCTGCCCGCGCCAATCGATAGCGCTGGTCGAGACCTTTCCAACGAGGGGTCGGAAGGCACATCTCCAACGCACCGTTCTCGAGATATTACGGTTTGAAATTTCGACCATAAATTCTGACATACCGTAATATCTCGAGAACGGTGCGTCGTAGATATGCCTTCCGACCCCTCGTTGGAAAGGTCTCGACCAGCGCTATCGATTGGCGTTGTCAAAATTGCAGTCGATTTTTGGTAAAAAAGGAAGGTATAACACTGCCCTTTTTTTTGGCCCGAAAAAAAAATTGAATTTTTTGGCGAAATTCTGACCGCGCCAATGGATAGCGCTGGTCGAGACCTTTCCAACGAGGGGTCGGAAGGCACATCTCCAACGCACCGTTCTCGAGATATTACGGTTTGAAATTTCGACCATAAATTCTGACAAACCGTAATAGAGAACGGTGCGTCGTAGATATGCCTTCCGACCCCTCGTTGGAAAGGTCTCGACCAGCGCTATCGATTGGCGCTGTCAAAATTGCAGTCGATTTTTGGTAAAAAAGGAAGGAATAACACTGCCCTTTTTTTTGGCCCGAAAAAAAAATTGAATTTTTTGGCGAAATTCTGACCGCGCCAATGGATAGCGCTGGTCGAGACCTTTCCAACGAGGAGTCGAAAATCACATCTACGACGCACCGTTCTCGAGATATTTCGACCATAAATTCTGGCAAACCGTAATATCTCGAGAACGGTGCGTCGTAGATATGCCTTCCGACCCCTCGTTGGAAAGGTCTCGACCATCGCTATCGATTGGCGCTCTCAAAATTGCAGTCGATTTTTGGTAAAAAAGGAAGGTCACTGCCCTTTTTTTTTGGCCCGAAAAAAAAATTGAATTTTTTGGCGAAATTCTGACCGCGCCAATCGATAGCGCTGGTCGAGACCTTTCCAACGAGGGGTCGGAAGGCACATCTCCAACGCACCGTTCTCGAGATATTACGGTTTGAAATTTCGACCATAAATTCTGACAAACCGTAATATCTCGAGAACGGTGCGTCGTAGATATGCCTTCCGACCCCTCGTTGGAAAGGTCTCGACCAGCGCTATCGATTGGCGCTGTCAAAATTGCAGTCAATTTTTGGTAAAAAAGGAAGGTATAACACTGCCCTTTTTTTTTGGCCCGAAAAAAAATTGAATTTTTTGGCGAAATTCTGACCGCGCCAATGTATAGCGCTGGTCGAGACCTTTCCAACGAGGAGTCGAAATTCACATCTACGACGCACCGTTCTCGAGATATTACGGTTTGAATTTCGGACCATAAATTCTGACAAACCGTAATATCTCGAGAACGGTGCAGCGTAGATATGCCTTCCGACCCCTCGTTGCGAAAGGTCTCGACCAGCGCTAATCGATTGGCGCTCTCAAAATTGCAGCATCGATTTTTGGTAAAAAAGGAAGGTCATGCCCTTTTTTTTTGGCCCCGAAAAAAAAATTGAATTTTTTGGCGAAATTCTGACCGCGCCAATCGATAGCGCTGGTCGAGACCTTTCCAACGAGGAGTCGAAATTCACATCTACGACGCACCGTTCTCGAGATATTACGGTTTGAAATTTCGACCATAAATTCTGACAAACCGTAATATCTCGAGAACGGTGCGTCGTAGATATGCCTTCCGACCCCTCGTTGGAAAGGTCTCGACCAGCGCTATCGATTGGCGCTGTCAAAATTGCAGTCAATTTTTGGTAAAAAAGGAAGGTATAACACTGCCCTTTTTTTTTGGCCCGAAAAAAAATTGAATTTTTTGGCGAAATTCTGACCGCGCCAATGTATAGCGCTGGTCGAGACCTTTCCAACGAGGAGTCGAAATTCACATCTACGACGCACCGTTCTCGAGATATTACGGTTTGAAATTTCGACCATAAATTCTGACAAACCGTAATATCTCGAAAACGGTGCGTCGTAGATATGCCTTCCGACCCCTCGTTGGAAAGGTCTCGACCAGCGCTATCGATTGGCGCTCTCAAAATTGCAGTCGATTTTTGGTAAAAAAGGAAGGTCACTGCCCTTTTTTTTTGGCCCGAAAAAAAAATTGAATTTTTTGGCGAAATTCTGACCGCGCCAATGATAGCGCTGGTCGAGACCTTTCCAACGAGGGGTCGGAAGGCACATCTACGACGCACCGTTCTCGAGATATTACGGTTTGAAATTTACGGTAAATTCTGACAAACCGTAATATCTCGAGAACGGTGCGTCGTAGATATGCCTTCCGACCCCTCGTTGGAAAGGTCTCGACCAGCGCTATCGATTGGCGCTGTCAAAATTGCAGTCGATTTTTGGTAAAAAAGGAAGGTATAACACTGCCCTTTTTTTTTGGCCCGAAAAAAAATTGAATTTTTTGGCGAAATTCTGACCGCGCCAATGGATAGCGCTGGTCGAGACCTTTCCAACGAGGAGTCGAAATTCACATCTACGACGCACCGTTCTCGAGATATTACGGTTTGAAATTTCGACCATAAATTCTGACAAACCGTAATATCTCGAGAACGGTGCGTCGTAGATATGCCTTCCGACCCCTCGTTGGAAAGGTCTCGACCAGTGCTATCGATTGGCGCTGTCAAAATTTCAGTCCATTTTTTGTAAAAAAAGGAAGGTATAACACTGCCTTTTTTTTGGCCCGAAAAGAAAATTGTCTCAGATCGACCGGAAAAAAATATTTTCTTATATAATGTTGCCTGTAGAATCCATAATTTCAAACAGTTCCAAGATCGGGCTACTAGATCAAAAGTTACAGCCCTTTGAATTTTTTTCTAGTCTGTAACTTTTGATTGAGAAGTCTGATCGAAAAAGTACAAATTGATTTGGATTCTACGCACCCAAATTAATAAGAAAAAGTGTTTTCCCGAGAAGTTTTGATGCAGTCGAGTTTTGGTAAAAAAGGAAGGGTAATCCACTGCCTTTTTTTGAGCCCCGAAGACAAAATTGTCTCAGATCGACCCGGAAAAAAATTTTCTTATAGAATGTGGCCTTTAGAATCCATAATTTCAAACAGTTCCAAGATTGGACTACTAGATCAAAAGTTACAGCCCTTTATATATATTCAGAAGAGTTCTCAGGGCTTAGAGTAACAGTAAACAAACGGAACACCGAGGGACCTGGAGGGTATACGAGATCTTCATTCTTAATAATATGCGAATCATTTCCTGATAATAATAATTGCAGAAAGCGAGACAACTAGTGTGAGGTTACTGGGGGTATTGCATAGGCTCCAGTAATTCATTCTAATCAAAAAAATGTTTAGAGTTAGCAATCACATATAAACATTAGACATTTGACGTTAGACATTGGTCATTGGACATTGGACAATGGACATTGAACAGGAATCAGCAGTCCTTCAGGAGTTATAGGAGCTCCATGGTCTCCAAGACAGAAGATTCTGTACTATCTTACGCAATGGTCCAACATAGAAAATAGTGTACATTTATTTCAACAATTAACAATATAAATAACAACAATTAACAGTATATTATTGCACTCGCCCTTCCGTCAACTCCACCAATCAATGCACAGGGTGCACGCCGGCTCTGTCGTACGTCACTTCTGCATGGTACCCGGTGTCGTCTGCAAAGTACTTGACACTCTGGAGCCGTCCGTCCGGCAACAAGACGTGATAATGACCTCTGACCGATTTTCCGTCGTGTAACTCCTCGTGTCCGAAATCGTTGCCGCTGTGAAAATCGCGCACGTTGTACCCGAAAGCGTATTCGGCGGCGTACGGCAACTGCAAATTAAAAATTACTAAAATAAGAAAGTCTTCGGCGATAATTAAACGGGACTAAGCGAAAGTGATTAATTCAAAGACTCTTATTTGCATAATCGTTTATTAACTTTTACCGATTGGATGATGACAATTTATTTAAATTAAGCGGCCGACTCTCACTATCCGTGGGTACCGTCGATTTTGCCCAGGACGTACTTTAATTTGTTTAGCTTTTTTGGTTGTCTCTTTCTTTTTCGTTTGCGGGTGGTGCGGAAATGGGGCCGCTTGCGCGTTCTGTGTTTGCGTTTGGGCCGGTTGTGTTTGTGGTGTTCGTGTTTGCTGGAGGTGTGGTGGTCGTTTGAGTTGTTGATCACGATGTAATTGATGGGTTTTCGGTCGGTGGTGGTTTCGTGGATGTAGTACCGTTTTTGGTCACCCGCACTTTCACTGTCACTATGCTCTAAATCGTAATCGTCGTCGAAGTCACTGTCGCGCTTAGGTCTCGGTGGGGTACTTACGTTATCCTGCCGGAAAACGGAGTTCTTCCGTGGCTGGACTAAGACAACGTGTCCGTAACTCGGATGCTTAAACTGGCTTTGGGCGAATGTGTTCGCCACCGCCTCCTGAAGTTCAGGTGGCGCGGGATCCGTTTTAACATTAGGACGGGTCAGAGGGTTTTCGATGTCCACCACGTCTTCGATGATGGGCGTGTGATCCTTCCCACTCAACATCTGCTGGAGCTCTTGCAGTTGCACCAGGGGTGCCTTTCCCAGGAGCGAGTTCAGCACACTAATTTGGTCCTCCTTATCGCCGACGTACGTTAGGGCGTTGTTGAGCGATATCGGATGGATGCCGTTAAGATCGCGTTTCCTCAAAGCCGATGGCTTCCGACCCTTCACCGCTCGATTTCTGGCCTGATGTCGGGCGTCGACCACCTGCTGCTCCAAATATCTCCATTTTCGACGGTCCTGTTGGGAAATCGATGCGAAATTCCCCGTTCGATTGGTGTTACCCGTTGCGGCCTCATCTACGCTTTCGTAAACCTCGGGAGATCGCAAATCGGAGAGCGTTAGAAGGGTGAGTAGGTACACGACCTGGAACTAATCTCGGTTAGAAACAGCGAAGTGCTCGCAACCCTCGAATATGCTTACGAGGGTAAGTCTCATAATGAAGCACTCACTGCACGCCTGATGGACAGTTCTGATTGCCGTTAACATTGACACTGAAGATCACCTCGACTTTCATTTCTGTTGAAGTCGCCAATGAGGTGTGACCAAATACGATGTATGGGAAGAAGAGAAAGCAGTGCACTGGTAAAGCATCCCGTTTTAAGCGTGGTCACATTTCCCAACGTGCCATTTTGCGATGCAAGTGGGGCAATTTCTGAAAATGCGTTATGGGACTATTTTCTATAAAAATTACGTAGGTACGTCGAGGAATTCCTACTTTCTCAATGAAGAACGAGATCGTGATGTGTAGCTAACCGGTTTGCCAGATGACATCTGCTTTCTTCACGTTTTCGCTTATTATCAGTGTTAGAGTGATACCATTTGGGCGTCTCCTGGTGATTTTGAATGCCATAGGTAACTGCGGCAATAAAGGAAATTATTCATCGGCTGTAATATTGACCGGTAAGGCAAGGTAATAATTATCTAACGGTTTACAACTTAAATTGTTTATTTACGCAAATGCGGCAGAACACGAACGCCTCGGGGAATAGCGTCGTAGGCGCGGGCGGGATCCTAAAAATCTCGTGCTATTGGGAGGCTGCGCACCTAAAAGTAATGCAGAAAGAATGCCTTCCTAGGCTCGGTAAGGCTGCCATCCGCGTCCAGGGGAAACCTGATGACCTGGTGGCGATGAAGAGACGCTTGAAAGTGCAAAATTCCTGGGCAAAGGTAGGCAACGGGTGCCTATTCCTCTCAGCCGTGAAGGATCAACCTCAAAGGAGACTGATAGTTATTGGCATTGGGGAAAAGGAGCAGGTTAACCTAATCGCCAAGGGGGAAGGCTCCCTTTTGGGTTTTCCTCTCTAAAGGTGAGGGTTTGTAACCCTGCCAAAACTAATGAGGCAGGGAGTACGTCAGTACAACCAACACAACACCAGCAGCTGCTACATGGGCAACTGAAAGAAGCTACGGAAGCATCACCGCTCAGGCTGCCAAGGCAACCTGTGGTCAGTGCTTGCTCCAGCGTCAGCAACACACCTCGGCCGATTTCCAGCTGGGAGGAGTTTGCTGATGCAATAATATGCATATGTCTACAACCATAAGTATGAAAGAGCATTTTATACACATAGACCCGCAACACTGTAGGGCGGCTGCTGTTACCTTAGGCAGACGCTTCACTGCAAAGCAGGACATTGTCCTCGTTCAAGAACCCTCGGTTGTTAAATCGAGGGTTTCTCGCCTTGGGGGCATAAAAAGAACCGTTTTCTATGATACACGGCAAGTATGGCGTTGAAAGATGTTTGTGGGAGATGGGAAAAGACATCCACAACGATTATGTTCTCCTGGTAGCCAGGCAAATTTAACAATAATTTTCTGATTGGCACTTCGTGTATTAGGAGCTGAAACACCTCCTCGCACATTATAACCTCCTGATACCAAATTGGAAAAGATTTAAAACGAAATTTGGCTTCGAAATATTTTTGTGGGTGAAGGGAAAAGACCTCCTCGACTATTATGTTCTCCTGGTAGCCGGACAAAATTTTAAAAGAATTTTCTGATTGTCTTCTCGTGTATTAGGAGCTGACACATCTCCTCGCACATATAAACTCCTGATACCAAATTGGAAAAGATTTAAAACGAAATTTTTCTTCGAAATATTTTGTGGGTGATGGGAAAAGACCTCCTGGACTATTATGTTCTCCTGGTAGCCAGACAAAATTTTACGATAATTTTCTGGTTGGCACTTCGTGTATTAGGAGCTCAAACACCTCCTCGCACATTATAACCTCCTGATACCAAATTGGAAAAGATTTAAAACGGAATTGGGCTTCGAAATATTTTTGTGGGTGATGGGAAATGACCTCCTCGACTATTATGTTATCCTGGTAGCCAGACAAAATTTTAAAAGAATTTTCTGGTTCATTGTCCCTTCGTATATTAGGAGTTGAAACACCTCCTCGCACATTATAACCTCCTGATACCAAATTGGAAAAGATTCAAACGAAATTTGGCTTCGAAATATTTTTATGGGTGATGGGAAAAAACCTCCTCAACTATTATATTCTTCTGGTAGCCAGACAAAATTTTAAAAAATTTTCTGATTGTCCCCTCGTGTATTAGTGGCTTAAACACCTCCTCGCACATTATAACCTCCTGATACCAAATTGGAAAATATTTAAAACGAGATTTGGCTTCAAAATATTTTTCTGGGTAATGGGAAAAGACCTCCTCGACTATTATGTTCTCCTGGTAGCCAGACAAAGTTTTATAAGGATTTTCTGATCGGCACTTCGTGTATTAGGAGCTGAAACACCTCTTGTCACATTATAACTTCCTGATACCAAATTGGAAAAATTTAAAACGAAATTTGGCTTCCAAATACTTTTGTGTGTGATGGGAAAAGACCTCCTCGACTATTATATTCTCCTGGTAGCCAGACAAGATTTTACAATAATTTTCAGATTGGCACTTTCTGTATTTGGAGCTGAAACACCTCCTCGCACACTATAACCCCCTGATACCAAATTGGAAAATATTTAAAACGAAATTTGGCTTCGAAACATTTTTCTGGGTAATGGGAAAAAACCTCCTCGACTATTATGTTCTCCTGGTGGCCAGACAAAATTTTAAAAGAATTTTCGTATTGTCCCCTCGTGTATTAGGAGCTTAAACATCTCTTCGCACATTATAACCTCCTGATACCAAACTGGAAAATACTTAAAACGAAATTTGACTTCGAAATGTTTTTGTGGGTGATGGGAAAAGACCTCCTCGCCTATTATGTTCTCCTGGTAGCCAGACAAAATTTTAAAAAAATTTTCTGATTCATTGTCCCCTCGTGTATTAGGAGTTGGAACACCTCCTCGCACATTATAACCTCCTGATACCAAATTGGAAAAGTTTAAAACGAAATTTGGCTTCGAAATATTTTTGTGGGTGATGGGAAAAGACCTCCTCGACTATTATGTTCTCCTGGTAGCCAGACAAAATTTTACAAGAATTTTCTGATTGGCACTTCGTGTATTAGGAGCTGAAACACCTCCTCGCACATTATAACCTCCTGATACCAAATTGGAAAAGATTTAAAACGAAATTTGGCTTCGAAATATTTTTGTGGGTGATGGGAAAAGACCTCCTCGACTATTATGTTCTCCTGGTAGCCAGACAAAATTTTACAATAATTTTCTGATTGTCCCCTCGTGTATTAGGAGCTTAAACACTCCTCGCACATTATAACCTCCTGATACCAAATTGGAAAAGATTTAAAACGAAATTTGGCTTCGAAATATTTTTCTGGGTAATGGGAAAAGACCTCCTCGACTATTATGTTCTCCTGGTAGCCAGACAAAGTTTTATAAGGATTTTCTGATCGGCACTTCGTGTATTAGGAGCTGAAACACCTCTTGTCACATTATAACTTCCTGATACCAAATTGGAAAAATTTAAAACGAAATTTGGCTTCCAAATACTTTTGTGTGTGATGGGAAAAGACCTCCTCGACTATTATATTCTCCTGGTAGCCAGACAAGATTTTACAATAATTTTCAGATTGGCACTTTCTGTATTTGGAGCTGAAACACCTCCTCGCACACTATAACCCCCTGATACCAAATTGGAAAATATTTAAAACGAAATTTGGCTTCGAAACATTTTTCTGGGTAATGGGAAAAAACCTCCTCGACTATTATGTTCTCCTGGTGGCCAGACAAAATTTTAAAAGAATTTTCGTATTGTCCCCTCGTGTATTAGGAGCTTAAACATCTCTTCGCACATTATAACCTCCTGATACCAAACTGGAAAATACTTAAAACGAAATTTGACTTCGAAATGTTTTTGTGGGTGATGGGAAAAGACCTCCTCGCCTATTATGTTCTCCTGGTAGCCAGACAAAATTTTAAAAAAATTTTCTGATTCATTGTCCCCTCGTGTATTAGGAGTTGGAACACCTCCTCGCACATTATAACCTCCTGATACCAAATTGGAAAAGTTTCAAACGGTATTTGGCTTCGAAATATTTTTGTGGGTGATGGGAAAAAACCTCCTCGACTATTATGTTCTCCTGGTAGCCAGACAAAATTTTACAAGAATTTTGATTGGCACTTCGTGTATTAGGAGCTGAAACACCTCCTCGCACATTATAACCTCCTGATACCAAATTGGAAAAGATTTAAAACGAAATTTGGCTTCGAAATATTTTTGTGGATGGATGATGGGAAAAGACTTCCTGGACTATTATGTTCTCCTGGTAGCCTGACCAAATTTTAAATGAATTTTCTGATTGTCCCCTCGTGTATTAGGAGCTTAAACGCTTCCTCGCACACCCTCACACCCTCCCACACACACACATGAATTGAGCAGTGAGTGAGTCCGATCGCCTATGTATCAGCTTCCCTCTTGAGGTTTATCCTACACGGCAAAGCTGCCTACTTTTGCCCAAGAATTCTGAACGTCCTAGCGCCGTTTACTAGTCACCATGTCGCATAGGGAAGCACTCTTCCTGCACTACTTTTAGATGTGTAACCTCGAGGTTGCCAACCACCTCCTTTAATCACTAAAGGGAATGGTTGTTCTCGCACGAGGTGATTCAAGGTTTGGTTATTAGTGAGGTTAGGATGGCGTGCTAGTTAGGTTAGGTCAGAAATGTTGTATCAGGAGAATATAATGTGCGAGGAGACTGAAGGTTAAGATAATATATTAGTGAGGTTAGGGTAGAGTGGTATTTAGGTCAGATCAGAAATCTTGTATCAGGAGAATATAATGATCGAGGAGGTTGCAGTTTAGGATAAAATATTAGTGAGGTTAGGTTAGAGTGGTAGTTAGGTTAGATCAGAAACCTTGTATCAGGAGAATATAATGATGGAGGAGGTTGAAGTTTAGGATAAAATATTAGTGAGGTTAGGTTAGACTGGTAGTTAGGTTAGATCAGAAATCTTGTACCAGGAGAATGTAATGATCGAGGAGGTGGAAAGTTAGGATAAAATATTAGTGAGGTTAGGTTAGACTGGTAGTTAGGTTAGATCAGAAATCTTGTATCAGGAGAATATAATGATCGAGGAGGTGGAAGGTTAGGATAAAATATTAGTGAGGTTAGGTTAGAGTGGTAGTTAGGTTAGATCAGAAACCTTGTATCAGGAGAATATAATGATCGAGGAGGTGGAAGGTTAGGATAAAATATTAGTGAGGTTAGGTTAGACTGGTAGTTAGGTTAGATCAGAAATCTTGTATCAGGAGAATATAATGATCGAGGAGGTGGAAGGTTAGGATAAAATATTAGTGAGGTTAGGTTAGAGTGGTAGTTAGGTTAGATCAGAAACCTTGTATCAGGAGAATATAATGATCGAGGAGGTTGAAGTTTAGGATAAAATATTAGTGAGGTTAGGTTAGACTGGTAGTTAGGTTAGATCAGAAACCTTGTATCAGGAGAATATAATGATCGAGGAGGTTGCAGTTTAGGATAAAATATTAGTGAGGTTAGGTTAGAGTGGTAGTTAGGTTAGATCAGAAATCTTGTATCAGGAGAATATAATGATCGAGGAGGTGGAAGTTTAGGATAAAATATTAGTGAGGTTAGGTTAGAGTGGTAGTTAGGTTAGATCAGAAACCTTGTATCAGGAGAATATAATGATCGAGGAGGTTGAAGTTTAGGATAAAATATTAGTGAGGTTAGGTTAGAGTGGTAGTTAGGTTAGATCAGAAATCTTGTATCAGGAGAATATAATGATCGAGGAGGTGGAAGGTTAGGATAAAATATTAGTGAGGTTAGGTTAGACTGGTAGTTAGGTTAGATCAGAAACCTTGTATCAGGAGAATATAATGATCGAGGAGGTTGCAGTTTAGGATAAAATATTAGTGAGGTTAGGTTAGATCAGAAATCTTGTATCAGGAGAATATAATGATCGAGGAGGTGGAAAGTTAGGATAAAATATTAGTGAGGTTAGGTTAGACTGGTAGTTAGGTTAGATCAGAAATCTTGTATCAGGAGAATATAATGATCGAGGAGGTGGAAGGTTAGGATAAAATATTAGTGAGGTTAGGTTAGAGTGGTAGTTAGGTTTGATCAGAAACCTTGTATCAGGAGAATATAATGATCGAGGAGGTTGCAGTTTAGGATAAAATATTAGTGAGGTTAGGTTAGAGTGGTAGTTAGGTTAGATCAGAAACCTTGTATCAGGAGAATATAATGATGGAGGAGGTTGAAGTTTAGGATAAAATATTAGTGAGGTTAGGTTAGAGTGGTAGTTAGGTTAGATCAGAAACCTTGTATCAGGAGAATATAATGATCGACGAGGTGGAAAGTGAGGATAAAATATTAGTGAGGTTAGCTTAGACTGGTAGTTAGGTTAGATCAGAAACCTTGTATCAGGAGAATATAATGATCGAGGAGGTTGCAGTTTAGGATAAAATATTAGTGAGGTTAGGTTAGAGTGGTAGTTAGGTTAGATCAGAAACCTTGTATCAGGAGAATATAATGATCGACGAGGAGGAAAGTTAGGATAAAATATTAGTGAGGTTAGCTTAGACTGGTAGTTAGGTTAGATCAGAAATCTTGTATCAGGAGAATATAATGATCCTTGTATCAGGAGAATATAATGATCGAGGAGGTGAAGTTTAGGATAAAATATTAGTGAGGTTAGGTTAGAGTGGTAGTTAGGTTAGATCAGAAATCTTGTATCAGGAGAATATAATGATCGAGGAGGTGGAAAGTTAGGATAAAATATTAGTGAGGTTAGGTTAGAGTGGTAGGTTAGATCAGAAATCTTGTATCAGGAGAATATAATGATCGAGGAGGTTGAAGTTTAGGATAAAATATTAGTGAGGTTAGGTTAGAGTGGTAGTTAGGTTAGATCAGAAATCTTGTATCAGGAGAATATAATGATGGAGGAGGTGGAAAGTTAGGATAAAATATTAGTGAGGTTAGGTTAGACTGGTAGTTAGGTTAGATCAGAAATCTTGTATCAGGAGAATATAATGATCGAAGAGGTTGAAGGTTAGGATAAAATATTATTGAGGTTAGGTTAGAGTGGTAGTTAGGTTAGATAAGAAGTCTTGTGTCAGGAGAATATAATGATCGAGGAGGTTAAAGGTTAGGATAAAATATTAGTGAGGTTAGGGTAGCGTGCTAGTTAGGTTAGGTCAGAAATCTTATATCACCTCTTAGACACCTCGGACATTATATTCTCCTGATATAGGTTTTGTAAAAGTTTAAGACGAAGTAAGACGTTGAAATATTCCTGTGACGGTTGGGTTTACATCGAGAGCACAGTGTCGTTTAAAAGGTGATGGATGAGTACGATACGTACTCAGTGAACCATTTGAGGAGCCCTTCATTGAACCCTAAGCTTTGAATTCGACGGTATTAAACCAAACTTTTTATAGCCACGCCTTCTTTCTTAGACGCCTTCTAATGGTTGAGGAGGTCTTTTCCAATCACCCATAAACATATTTCAAAACCAAATTTCGGTTTAAATCCTTAGAAATTTGGTATTGGGGGCATATAATGTTCGAGGAGGTGTTTCTGTTCCTTGTACATAAACCATCAGTTAGAAAATTCGTGTAAAACGTTTCTGGCTACCAGGAGAACACGATGGCTGAGGAGAGCAAACATATTTCGAAGCCAAATTACGTTTTAAATCTTTACCAATTCTGTATCGTATCAGGAGTATATAATGTTCGAGGAGGTGTTTCTGCCTTTATTAAACGAACCGTCTTTTAGTAAATTCTTCTTAAATGTCTGATGTCCCTCCCCCTCCAATATCTCATTTTTCTCATGTCTGTTTGTGCCGTATTATGGATTCAAGAAGCGTCTGGCAAGAGCAAGGCAAGAACAAGGCAATAGGCTAGGCTAGGTACCAACTTACTCTAAAAATTCATTCATTGTACTTTAATATACCTAAAACTACAAAACGATAAACTTAAAACTAAAACTACCGTAACAAATAAATAATAAACCTACAATAACAAAAAAAAACGCCTTCTATCTCGTGTGCTTCTCAATCGGGTTTCCATCCTCATCGATCGCCATCGAGGGTATCAGAGGTGGCCTGAAGCCGTACTCCCATCGTATCTTGCTCTCGAAGTCCTCCCTCGCGGTTCTCTGCTTTCGCTCGCCGCTCCTCGTAGCGTTAAAGTACACCTGGGGGGCTTGCACCTTTGGCGGAACCAGGCCGATGTAGTTATCGCAAATCGGCTTGCTAACGCCGAATAGGCGAACGTTCACGCAGGGCACTCTGCTGTTCGATTGCACGCTGGCGGCGGCCGCTAGGTTCTTGGGCTTCCTCTTAAAGTTGGGCTCGAGTGGCGGGTAAAGTTTGGGGGGCTCGATCGGAAGGTAGAAGGTTTGCACGATGGGTACCGGGACGGGGTACGGTTTCGGTATATTGTACTGAGGTCTCGGCGAATCCACCACCTTTACCGGTACCGGCACTGGAACCTGCGCCACCTTCTGATGGTACTTGGACTCTTGGGGTTCTTGAGCGGTGCTGGGTTTCTGCGCCTCACGCCCCAACGCCTGGGCCAAAGTTGGACGCTTGGGTCGATCGATAATCGGCCGTTGTAAAAAGTCGCCTAGCTTTAGGTGTTGGGTCGCGGTGGCGGTGACGTTATTGCTTTTACCGTCTCCGTCGCCGTTGTAGTACTCAATTTTACCAAGATAGTAGGGTATACTCGGCTGGACGTCGACTACGTAGTTCTCGTGGACGATATTTACCCGTTTTTCCTGAGGGGGTACCGGCAATTCGACGCCGGCGGTCAGCGGAGCCAGCAAGGCCGCCTGAATGGGACGCGGGGTTACCACTACGGTCGTACCACCTTCGGTGCGTGGTGGAGGGTGGGTTGTCGGTGGTGGTTCCTTTCGAAAGTCTGCCACGACAATGGGTTGGTCTGAGAAAACTCGGTGGTCGTTTTGTTTTTCGGGCCGCACGAGTTTTTCGGCTACTGATGGGGTGTCTGCTGATGGACTCGATTGATGGTTGATGTCGACGATGTCCTGATCGCTGACCAAGTGTTTGAAGTTGTCTAAAAAACGGTAGCTGGAGGATTTTGTTGGCGATTGATCGTAATTGTTAGTGTAGCTTTCCTGCTGGTGCAGTGGGGGGAAGATACTGGGGACTTCGTACAGCAAAGGTGGCCCTAAAAAGTTGTCGCTTGCGTGAATCAGTGTTTGGTGAGTGTTATCCAGGTAAGGAAACTGCAGGTACTGCTGGAGCGTTTGCAATGTTTGAGGCTGGTCGACGTATACTTGTTGCTGTTGAGGAGGCTCGTTCGGTTCTTGAGTCGGGTACGTCAGGTAAACGTACTGTTGAGGTTGGTCATAGTCGCCATATTGTCTTGTTTGGACAGGGGCAGGAGTGTCCGGTCTTGCACGCTCCTGATCCGAGGCAACCACGGATTGGTCGTACAAATTCTCGAGAACAACAGGCCGAGTGTCATCCTCAACGTTTTGCTTATAATGCTCTTCAGGAGCAACCTTGACGTGCTGTCCTCGCTAAAACAAAAGCATCAAAACGAGCACCTCCTCTGAATCACTTACCTTGTGATTTAAAGTATTGATGGCCGCCTTATCCATAGCCATATGGGCGACTGTTCGGCTGTGAGGGCCTCGGTTGTTGTACTCCACATACGGATGGTATCCCCCATCGTCCGCCACGTACTCGACCTCCTGGCTGGAATTCTTCCCCTCGACGTAGTACCTGTGGTGGATAACCAGGTTAAAAGGTTATACTTCCTATTAACGGGACCGCCGTTTTCGCATTGTAAGATTCATATTTAACGCATCATTGACTAGAGCCGTAAACGGAGGTGCAAATTGAGCATTTATTATTCATGTAATACATATAATTTACATAGGCGGAAATTGTACGTTCTGAAATTGCGGTTTAACCTGCTTATTACGCCAAGAGAGATTTGTTACAGTTGATGAAGCGATAGAATTAGATTTAGAGCTTGCGTGCGGGAATGCCAAATTCCAGTTATCGGGTCCAAATGGTATCTCTAATTGTGATGGCTGTGGGTAAGGGTGTTTTTCTAAGGGTAGATGCCGACGGTGACGTAAAGGGGTCCGCTATTGTGTCATATCCACAAGTTATGTAAACGCACTTGTAGATATTGCATTGATTGCCGATCGTTGCTGAAATTGTCAAGTAGACAACCTACTTAGGTGGGTGACTTAAAATGTAATAACGAGAACGGAGATGACTACGAACCTTCCAAGAAGAGACACGTATAAGTAAATAGTTAATAGAAGAAATGGTTTTTATTAAAAGTACTACCTAATGACCCTCCGAACATAACATGGCGACCGTGACAGGACTTTACGCATGTAATTGCAGAACGTTCGTATGTACCTAGGTCGTTTTAACCCGTAAGTGTAATTTAGACTTTGAACGTTACAGTTAGGTACTATGAGTGACATTAATTCTTTAAATAGATTTAATTTTAAGTACTTAGGTACTATTATTAATTATAAATAGAATGCGAATAATGCATACAATTTCCACGTCTAGCTAGGTCACAGTAATAATTCTTTTACATGCCTACTTACACATGGCAAGAAATTCAAAATAAATTGACTGAACTTAAACAAGAGTTCCAGAAAGTAGCTAAAAGGATCATAAAATCGGAATTACCTTCAAGAGATAGTTTAGATAGGAACAGGATACTTTTAACTGAGGTATATAATAGACAAATACAATTGTTTACTCAGGTGTGGAATGTGCTGAATGAAGATCAAAAAGTAGTCGTTAAGGAACAATTTTTATATTTTAGGGATAAAACATTACAAGCGTTTGCAATTAGTCGATGCCCACATATTGTCCCAAAAGGTTTATTCCAAAAAATCGAGGAAGATAACAGTGATAGTGAGTTAGAGTTTGGAAATGTGGAAACTGAGTCAATAACGTCTGTAAGTAATAAAATGGAGGAAACTTCTGCGGGATATTTAAAACTCGCTAGTTCTCTAATAAAATCTTATTCGGGTGATCCAGATAACCTAAATGCATTTTTAAATTCCTTAGATTTGGTAAAAAGTATCACTACGACAGAAAATTTAAATTTATTTGTACAATTTATCAAAACCAGGTTAGAAGGAAAAGCTTTGGAAGCCATTCCTACAAATGCGAATACCTATGAGGAAATTCGAAATGCATTAAAGGCAAATATTAAACCAGATTCTTCTGAGGTAATAGAAGCTAGGCTTCTAGCGTTAAGAACGGATAGGAAAAGTTTAGAAACCTTCACTAAGGAGGCAGAGGTATTAGCCGAATGTTTAAAACGTTCATTAATAATGGAAGGAACCTCGGATTCAAAAGCTGAATCAATGGTGGTAAGGAAAATGGTTGAAACTTGTAGAAAGTCTGCTAGATCAGATCTGGTAAAATCAGTTCTTGCCAGTGGAAATTTTAACAATCATAAGGAAGTACTTGCAAAATTTGTAGTTGAAATTAGTGATGAGGTAACGGATAGGCAAATTTTAGCGTATAATAGAAATGTTCCACGGCGGTACAGCAACAAATCATTATAGAGGAAATCAGTTTAGAGGAAATGAGAGGAAATCAGTTTAGAGGAAATGACCGCACAAACTTTAACCGTGACAGTAATGGAAGAAATTTTAACTTTAACGCATATAGGCCTAACCATTTTAACGAAAATAATAGTAGGGGTAGAGGTTACTCCAAACATCCAAATATTAGGGTATATCAGAATTCGGGAAACGGGCAAAACCCAGAGCCGCACCCTCTGGGAAACAATTAAACTACAGAGATGTTAATATTTTTCACATGAATTTATCTTATTCTGATTATGTCACTATTTACTCTCCGCAATCTCATTCGAATTTAAGTTTTCTAGTAGATACTCAGGCAGATATATCAGTTATTAAAAGTGGATCTATAACGGATAATAATTCAATTAATAAGGAAAATTACGTAATTATAAAAGAAATAACAGAGAACACTGTTACATCAATAAGGTTCAGTAATCTCACCACTTTCAGTTAATTCTCATGCTTTTGAACATACATTTCAGGTAGTAGAGGAAACTTTCCCAATCCCAGCGGATGGAATTTTGGGTAAAGATTTTATAAAGAAATATTATTGCAACCTCTTTCTTCATGTCGTTAGGTCACAGAGACATCTGTTGATGCGACCTGAAAAGGTCTGTACCTAGGAAGTGCCATCCATACGATACGATACGATATGCACATCTGCACCTCGTTATTCCTCCCTTATAAATTTCGGTGCCCACACCGTTCAGCTGCTTCAATTTTTAAATTTGCATACTTTCACATTCTTTCTCTTCTCTTGCCTACCTCTTCTTATTCCTCTTCCTCTCTTCTTGTTTGAAATATTTTTTCGCTTTCCATTGGTTTTCATCCTTGTTCAAAAGCATCCTTATTATTTTTTTTTCTTTCTTTAGGTGTCTTTTGTGCTTTCTTTTTAATTTATTCTTTACCAACATCGTTCTGCGCTTTATTTTTTCTTCCGTATAATCCCGGAACCATTCTCTCTCTCGTCTCCTTCTTTTAACTACTTCTATGTTGCACGTCCACTATCATCCTGCATCATTTTACCCCCTCCTTTATGTTCTTTCGTTCTTTCTCTTTCTGTCAGTACAGTAATTCTCAGCATCTTTTTCTGTTTGTTATTGCACCGTTCTTCCTCTGTAATGTTCTTAATCTTACCGTCTTTTATAAAATCGTTTTCACCGTTTGGTGATTTGATTCTGCCTTTACTTCTACAATGACTTCTTTTACTTTGTCTATTACTGTCCCATTTACAATGATGTAATCCTTTACTTACTTCTTGATGTTTTCTTCTTTATTCCACATTCTATCTCCACTATTCTATTTCCCATTTTCGCGTTCTTCTCTCTTCCCCTTCCAGCACCTCTTTTTCTCTTTTAGTTTTCCATAGCCCCTCCCTCTTTTCGAGACATGTGCAGGATATACGAAGGAGACGTAAAGAAGACCGGAAAAAGCGTAAAGAACGTGGGAGGGTAAAAAACAAACACGATGGGGGAGACGGTAGGCGATGTGAAACAAACATGAGAAGCACAACGCAGGTGTAAATAAGAAGCGAAAGAGGGTAGAAGCGAAGGCCACATAAAATGTGATGTGACTGATTCTGCAGCTTCTTTAGAGCCTCCAGGCTCCAGTTTTCTCCGTTTTCTCTCTCTATTTTGTTTTTTTTTTCCTTTTTCTATTCCCCCCCCCCCCCATTCCTTCCCGTTCCTCTTCCCCTGCTTCTGTTTGTAATACTTTGTTCCTCGTTTCCATTGGTGTTCATCCCTTCTGACAAGCATTCTTATCTTTTATGTTTCTGTATCTTCTTCTATTACGTCATTTGCGTTTTTCCGTTTCTGTTTCCTTTCTTTTTTTGATTTCCTTCAATTTTAAATTGTTTCGGTATTTTCTCTGTCCCTTTACATGTCTTATTGTCACTTTTTATTTTCTCTTCATCCAGCTCTCACTCTTCCCTCTCTGTCTAATATTATTTCTGGGCTTCTTTTATCCTCGAACGTTTCTGCACCAGATGATCGATATTCTCCTCTTTTTTTCCTACATAGGCTGCATTCCTTTCTCTTCTTCTTTTCTCATGTGCACATCTGAACATCGCCCACTCCGCTGTCAGCTTCTATCTTTTATTCGCACGTGGAACTAAGATTTGTTTTGTAATTGTATATCTCACTCCAATCTTTTTTCTTTTTTCATGCTTTCCCATTCTTTTTCTTCTTTTGTCTACTTCTTCCCGTTCTCTTTCTCTTTTAATGTTTGTCATATTCTTACTCGGTTTCCATTTTTTAATCCTTGTTGACAATCATTCTTCTTCTTCATTTTCTTTCTCCTTTTCTTCTTTGTGCATTCTTTTCATTTTTACTTTATCATTATTCGGCGCTTTATTTTTTCTTCCGTATAATCCCTGAACCATCCTGCTATCTTTTCCTCTCTCCCTCTTCCTCCCCTCGTTCTTCAAATGTTTGTATGGTGGAGTTCCAATATTATCCTGCATCTTTTAACTTTTCTTTCGTGTTCGTTCTGTCTTCCTCATTCTGTTAGATCAGTCTTCTTCTGTAATTCTCAACACTATTTTCTGTTCGGTCACTTTCATTACTTCTACTTCCACCCTCTTCCCCGTATTCATTGTTCCTCAACTTCTAATCTCTTCTTTCCTATATTTCACTTCTCCCACTTCTCCTCTTCTATCCCAGCGCCTAATTTTCCTCCACTTTTATACTTCCTATTTTCGTCCCCTTCACGTTTCTTGCTTTCCCGTTCCCCTCTTACCTTTCCCAAAACTCTCCCCTGCCTCTCAGCGAAGAAAAAGGAAGAGACATGCGCAGGGATGCGAAGGATACGTAAAAACCATGAAAAAAAGCGCAAAACCCTTGTGAGAAGACCAATCGAGAATGTTGAGGGGAGAGTGTGGGGAATGTAGAGCATTCTTATCTTCCTATTTCTGTCTCTTCTTCTTCGCGTTTTTCCGTTTAGGCCCAATCCTTTCCTTTTCTGATTCCCGTGATTTCTTTTGTTTTTCTGTTTTCCTTTACATGCCTTTTTTTGCATTCTTCTTATTGTCTCTTTATCACGTTTTGGCCTTCCCTCTGCGTCTAATATTTTTTCTTGCTTTTCTTCGACCTCTAACATTCCTATACCTGATGATGGATATTCTCCTCTCTTGTCCTCCTATATTTCACCTCCTCCTTCCCCACGTCCACATCGTCCTTGATGATAGTGTTCATTATCCTCAATCATCTCTTCTCTGTCAGTTGTATTGGCAACTCTAACTTAACTCAATCTTAAAGAGGCGTGGGGGAGGTTGACGCGGACAGGACGGATCCAGGAAATGTAAAGGAAGCGCGAGGAGAAGTAGAGAAGGTTTGAAGAGAAAGTGCATCTGCACATGTGTGTTCTGCCGAAAAGCTCTTCCGCTTTTCCGTTTATATCTAAGAATAAGTGTACCAAATTTGGTTCTTATCGGTTCAGCCGGAAATGAGAGTACAGACCGATAGACAGGTAGGTAGACAGACAGACAGATTTAATCGAGATTTTGTTTGATGTACTTGATTAATTCAATAGTCAAAAGATCGATTACAAATAATTGAAAAGTTGTTTCAGATGTGGGAGTTCATGACCCATCGTTTGAAACTGCTTTGGTCAAACAGTTCATTAAAAAGAATCTTCCACTGTACCGTACTCGTGATTCGACTGCATCCAAAAGTAAGGCATCTCTCACCAAATTACAGAAAAAATCGAAGGCAAAGAAAGTAAAACTAGTTTTTTTAAATCGCGCGGAACACTTGCACTAATTTTTTTCTTCCGCCACAAGCGGAAGACGCGCATCGATCATAAACGGAGAAAGTAGTAAACATCGATTTTTTAAGTGAGTCAAGGTGAGGAATATGCATAAAATACACACCTCCCTGAGGCGACAGCGCCAACGCCCGCCTCCGTCTTGCCCTGGCCGACTCCGCCGTCACCGTGCAGAACCATGTATCCATACTCGTATTTCGGAGGACTCTGAAAAATGGATAAAATACCGTTACTTAATTTATGATTACTGGTACGCGTGGGCATTACGGAAAGGATGATATAAGTTACCTATTTGCACCACATCTTGGAATTGTTTGAAATTATGGATTCTACAGGCCACATTCGATAAGAAAATTTTTTTCCGGATCGATCTGAAACAATTTTTTTTTCGGGGCTCAAAAAAAGGCAATGTATAACCTTCCTTTTTTACCAAAAATCGACTGCACCAAAATTTCTCGGCAAAACACTTTTTCTTATTAATTTTGGTGCGTAGAATCCAAAACAATTCGTACTTTTTCGATCAGACTTCTCAATCAAAAGTTATTGACTAGAAACCAATTTCGAAAGAAAATTCAAAGGGCTGTAACTTTTGAACTAGTAGCCCAATCTTGGAACTGTTTGAAATTATGGATTCTGCAGGCCACATTCTATAAGAAAAATTTTTTCTGGATCGATCTGAGACGATTTTTTTTTCGGGGCCCAAAAAAGGCAGTGTACAACCTTCCTTTTTTACCAAAAATCGACAGCACCAAAATTTCTCGGGAAAACACTTTTTCTTATTAATTTTGGTGCGTAGAAACCAAAACAATTCGTACTTTTTCGATTAGACCTCTCAATCAAATGTTCAAACTATGGCAAGGTGAGGTGTCCCTCAGGGTACAATCTGGGGTTCTTGCTATTTTTGCAATCGAAAAGTCTAGGAAAAAATTAGATAGTCGTCTTCTTGGTATCCAGCTTCAAAGGGTTTCGATAGCCTTGTGGCAAATTTAGGAGTTCGGCAATTTAGTAGTGAGAAAAAATAAGCGAGCATTCGGTGGAATGGAAGATTGGGCTTTTTGCATCTTTTAATGTCTATAGAGCATTGTTTTCTTAATGGATTCCGGATGTCTGGAGGCGAAATTTCTGGGATTTTGATCATATTCGGTTATCCTAATTGGTACCATTTGATTAAATCTTGGGAATGCGGCATGTGGTAATTTCAGAAACCTTTACGATTCTTGGTTTTCCTTTCCCTGAAACTGCGACAGACTTCCTGAGTCATTTACCAAATGTAATAGTTTTTAGCATTTTTAACATAAAGCAACGTGTCGTATAGTTCCAGGAAGTAATAAATAAAAACTGAAATGGATATGTAACTTGTAAAGAAAGCGCTCAGGAGGCCTTGTTGTAGACTAACTTTCTTAGTAGTCGTAGACTCAAAAACGGCATACAATACCTACCAATAAAACAATTCGTTCAGATTATTTTGTTAAGATCATGAGCTACAAAAATACGTTCTTACTAATGCATCACTCTCAGCTTTTGGGGTAGGATATAATGGAAAACAGTTGCTTCTTGAAATTCACCATTGAATAAGTAATTAAATCTACTAAGAAAATAACAGGAATAAAAAGTACTAAATGATTAATTGAAAGGGAACCTTTCCGTACTATTACGCGGGAAAAGCGAGCATTATAAACGGCAATTACGTTGAAAATTAACGCGTCTTTCCGCGATCTCGTGCTTCAATTTCTTACTTAAAGACCCCTCGTTACGTATATTGCATAATGAGATAAACACAAAATATCTCTTCGATCGACCTGTTCGAAATGGAAAACTGCAGGAAGCTGTAAATTGTGTTACCGTTCGCTCGATATAGAGATTACTTTTACTATGGCAACAATGGACATTGTTTTCTACTGTATAAAGATAATCATCAAAATTAATCGAGTTCTGTTTATAATTCCATTTGAATTAATGGTCTCATTATACTACTGTAATGGTGCTATGTGATTAGTTTGAGAAAGGGTTTCATTTTCGTTTTGTCAGTGAAATGTCTTGTTAATTTTGTTAAAAATCTATATTAATTTCTCCAAGTATAATCATAACATGGTCACGCTTCTGAGACAATGGTCAATTTTATATTATTTAGAGCCTTTGAAGGCTGCTAATCCTTAAGGAATCTTAAAGGTCTTTTAAGAGTTTTTTTACGAGAGACTGTAAGAGTGTTTCGGAGGACTTAAGGCTCCAGCAACTGATCCTTAAACCAGCTTTGAGAGCCTTTAAATAGCCTGAAACAGTCGATATTAATCTCAAAGGGTTTTTGAAAGCCTCCTTTTGTATTACTTAGAGCCTTTGAAGGCTGTTAATCTTCCCTTAAGGAATCTTAAAGGTCTTTTAAGAGATTTTTTACGAGAGACTGTAAGAGTGTTTCGGAGGACTTAAGGCTCCAGCAACTGATCCTTAAACCAGCTTTGAGAGCCTTTAAATAGCCTGAAACAGTCGATATTAATCTCAAAGGGTTTTTGAAAGCCTCCTTTTGTATTACTTAGAGCCTTTGAAGGCTGTTAATCTTCCCGTAAGGAATCTTAAAGGTCTTTTAAGTGATTTTTTACGAGAGACTGTAAGAGTGTCTCTGAGGACTTCAGGGTCTAGCAACTGATCCTGAAACCAGTTTTGAAAGCCTTTAAATAGCCTGAAACAGTCGATATTAATTTCAAAGGGTTTTTGAAAGCCCCCTTTTATATTACTTCGAGCCTTTGAAGGCTGTTAATCTTGCCTTAAGGAATCTTAAAGGTCTTTTAAGAGTTTCTTTTACGAGAGACTGTAAGAGTGATTGGGAGGACTTAAGGGTCTAGCAACTGATTCTTAAACCAGGTTTGAGAGCCTTTAAATAGCCTGAAACAGTCGATATTAATCTCAAGGGGATTTTGAAAGCCTCCTTTTATATTATTTAGAGCCTTTGAAGGCTGTTAATCTTCCCTTAAGGAATCTTAAAGGTCTTTTAAGAGTTTTTTTACGAGAGACTGTAAGAGTGTTTCGGAGGACCTAAGGGTCTATCAACTGATTCTTAAACCAGTTTTGAGAGCCTTTAAATAGCCTGAAACAGTCGATATTAATCTCAAAGGGTTTTTGAAAGCCTCATTTTACATTATTTAGAGCCTTTGAAGGCTGTTAATCTTCCCTTAAGGAATCTTAAAGGTCTTTTAAGAGATTTTTTACGAGAGACTGTAAGAGTATTTCGGAGGACTTAAGGGTCTAGCAACTGATCTTTAAACCAGTTTCAAGAGCCTTTAAATAGCCTGAAACAGTCCGTATTAGTCTCAAAGGGTTTTTGAAAGCCTCCTTTTGTATTACTTAGAGCCTTTGAAGGCTGTTAAACTTCCCTTAAGGAATCTTAAAGGTCTTTTAAGAGTTTTTTTACGAGAGACTGTAAGAGTGTTTCGGAGGACCTAAGGGTCTATCAACTGATCCTTAAACCAGTTTTGAGAGCCTTTAAATAGCCTGAAACAGTCGATATTAATCTCAAGGGGATTTTGAAAGCCTCCTTTTATATTATTTAGAGCCTTTGAAGGCTGTTAATCTTCCCTTAAGGAATCTTAAAGGTCTTTTAAGAGTTTTTTTACGAGAGACTGTAAGAGTGTTTCGGAGGACCTAAGGGTCTATCAACTGATCCTTAAACCAGTTTTGAGAGCCTTTAAATAGCCTGAAACAGTCGATATTAATCTCAAGGGGATTTTGAAAGCCTCCTTTTATATTATTTAGAGCCTTTGAAGGCTGTTAATCTTCCCTTAAGGAATCTTAAAGGTCTTTTAAGAGTTTTTTTACGAGAGACTGTAAGAGTGTTTCGGAGGACCTAAGGGTCTATCAACTGATCCTTAAACCAGTTTTGAGAGCCTTTAAATAGCCTGAAACAGTAGATATTAATCTCAAAGGGTTTTTGAAAGCCTCATTTTACATTATTTAGAGCCTTTGAAGGCTGTTAATCTTCCCTTAATGAATCTTAAAGGTCTTTTAAGAGTTTTCAAAGGCTTTTAATAATCTTTGACAGCTTTACGAACCCATTTTGGTTAAAAACGCACCCAAAGTTAAGACGATATTGTTTTGGGGTTGAACAACTTCTCTTTCACTTGACATTGAACTTGGCACCCTTTTAATAGCTTTGAATGCAATTGGCATGCGAACTTAATATTGAGGAATGTGGGAGATGTTAACATTGATCTTTCAAGCGCGAAAACGTATTGAAGCGTAAATAAAAAAATTGAAAACTCCACTCACCTGATCAACTACCGTCTTTTTATGCCCTGAAGGCTGCACGGCTCCAATTACGCCTAACGTTAACAAAAGGAACGAAGTCTCCTAAAAGAGGAAAAATTCCCGTAGCCCTCACAAGGTTCGGTTTAATTAAAATCACTTACTCGAATTAGCATGTCGCACGGAAGAACAAAATTTACAACTGGACCGCCTATCGCCAGCACCCGATGCTGTCGAACTGATCTGCTTCTTTAGAAATGTATCAGAATTTCTTCCTATCCCTGTCCTTTCACCGGCCCAACCCGCAACATAAAACCGTACAGGTAATTCGATACGATCTTCGCGTCGTGCGTTTACTTTTCGCGATGGTAAAAAAAAGAGGCGTCTCCGTGTGCGAAGTGGCATAATTCAAAATCGGTGTTACCTTTCAAAAAATTCCCTTTCGAAAATGTTATGGGATTGACGTAAACTCGTCCATCATATTTGGTTTCGCCGGGAGCGCTCCTTTAAAAGAAAGTCGCGATCCGTTGACGTTTTGATGCGTAATTATGGGTTAAAAGCGTTTGGCAGGAAAAAAAATTGTAAACAATTTCACTTTTGAACGACGTCCGTTCGGATGACGGATGAAAGTGCTGGCAGTGCTAAACGGTTCAACTGCAACTCGATCGATTACGTAACTGAGAAGAAATCTCACCTCCAGAAAGTTTGGTCGTGGGATGCCAAGTTCATGGTCCAAAACGTTCTACGACCTCGACTTTTAAACAATTGGAGGGTTCTTCTTAAAGACTTTTTTCAAGATCAAGTATTTGGCTTTCAAGGTTTTGGAGAACCCTTGACCTCTAAAGGTCATCCAGAAGCTTTTAGAATCTCTTTTTTTGAAAACACTGAAAGGGTTCTTTATGTCTTTAAGACCCTTAAAATCGATTAAAGATAGTTGAGTACGTTTAAGGGGGTTTATTGCAATCTTTGAAGAT